ATATATATATATATATATATATTATAGTAAAGTTTATAATAAAATGGGAAAATTAAATATTTTCGCGATATACATGCGAAAACGTATGCGCATGTATACCGACGTTACTGTAATTTTATCAATAATTCTATCGTTATCATCCGCGCTCACTTGAATCACTGCAACCTCTCACTTTCGCCGCGATGTTTCTTGACGCGGTCGTTAGCGCGCGTGAATTTTTCAAGCCACGCGGGGGGTTCCTGCAAGACCGACGAACGCGAACGAATAGAGGTTAGGTGTCCCGAATCGAAGACAGCGCTAAGAAAGTAAGAACGGTCTCTTCTTTTCCAAGAGAGAAACTCGACGCTCGGTTAACTCTCGCCTGGCTTCTCGTCGAAAGGAGACGCGAGAAGACGTGATTATTATAGGAGCTTGATCTCGCGGGTGAGAACCCCTTAGCCGAGGTCAGTCGTCTCGGCGTATCTCGACGCGTGTGTGCGTGTGCTCGGTGTGTGTGTGTGTGCGTACGCGCGCGTACCAACACGCGTGAACGCGATGACAGTCCGTTCGTTCCGGGCACGAGAACGTCGACAGCAGCAGCGCTGAGCAGCGCGCGTGAGCCGAGAGAGGAAGGCCCCCCGTCACGTCCCGTCCATCCATCCGTCCGTCCGTCCGTCCGTCGAACATATGATCGTAGCCCCGCCGAGGGCGCGCGTCGTTGAGGTGAGAACGTCGTCGTCGGTTTCCGGGAAGCGCGCGATCGCACTACCCGCCTTCCGCACTCCCGCCGCCGCGGCCGACCTTAGCCCAGTCCAGTCCGCGACCCGAGATCGCGCGTGCGACTCGCGGAAATGACAAAGCGCGCCCCGCTCGCGCGTCAGCAGCAGTGAGGAGAGGAGCCCGCGTCGCCGTTCGCGGACGCGAATTACAAGTCTCCCGGTGTGATCCCGAGCGGAAGGAAGCGGCGTCAGACATGAGCTCCGTCTGGAAGCGCCTGCAGCGGGTGAACAAGCGAGCTGCCAAGTTCCAGTTCACCGTCTCGTACCACGAGGTCACGTTGGAGACGACGACGAAGTGGTGAGTGACGCCGATTCCGTTCCTGACCAAAAGCGAGAGAGAGTCTCCTCTCGCCCACGGACTCCCGAGACTCCTGTCCTTCGAACGGCCACTAACGCCGATGCCTCCTTCGATGAGACGAGAGTCTGTGTGTAATATTGTCGTCTGCTTCCGAAAACAGAAGCGTTTGGCAAGAAAGTGATGAGAATTTTTTTCTCTTTAAATAAATCTTCTGAAAGCAGAAGTGATTGGCAAGAGAATGATGAGAATTTTTTCTCTTTAAATAAATACTTTGGAAGTAAAAAAAAAAATTAAGCGAATTACTGATTACTGCTTTTTGCATTCAAACTTTTTTTTGGATATTGTATTTCAGAAAATGTCTTTATATTTATGACACAATTTAGAAGGTATCTTTTAATTATTATATATATATAGGTATATATATATATATATACACATTTTGGAAAGATGAAATAATTGCAATCTATAAAGCTGAAAACTTTATACAATCATATAGAAATTATATTAACTAAGAAAATATACAAAGATAATATAATATTCTTTAGGAAACCAAATCCATCATGTAGAAATCATGTTAGCTAAGAAAATATACAAAGATTATATTTAACATTCTCTAGGAAACCAAACAAATTGAGCGTCGTTTGGACAAGACGGAGCAGAAGAGTTAGTTCGGAACCCTTGGACTGGGAGCCATGTTTGAGCGATCCCTTGAAAGGTATCATTAGCTGGGCAGTCCCTGACAATCACACGGTTTCCGTGACGCTGTTCAAAGATCCACGAACGCACGAGTTAGAGGACAAAGATTGGACGTTTGTTATTGAAGATGTGAGTATAGTGAGTTGGTACGCGCTTGAAAAAAGGACACAGCACAATGGTACATTGTTCTATTCTTAAACAGGTGTCGTCGACGGGTAAAAGGCGTCACGTGGCTGCCGCCAATATAAATATGAAAAAATACGCAACCTTAGAATCTAGTCAGCAACAACTCAAATTAGACTTGAAGCCAACTTCTAAAAAGATCGTTAGCGCTACGCTCGAATGCACTTTGTCATGTGTGTTTCTGCGAGAGGGCAAGGCGACGTAAGTCTGTGCAGTTTAATTTCATTGACATGCTGCTAATTAATTTCGTAAGCTTAGGCATTCGTCATTTGTGTAGCTAAATGTATTTCAAATGGGATAAATATTAAATAATGCGCTCTAGAGACAGCATGCTGACTTTGTCGATTTATCTGAAAAATATTTGTTATCGAAATGCCATCTATTTGAATTTATCGATAAATACTTATTTACTAATTATCTACTTATTTATTATTTTTCTAGGGACGAGGATATGCAAAGTATGGCTAGTTTAATGTCGGTTAATAATAATAGCGACATCGCGCCGTTAGACGATTTCGACAACGAGGACATACCTGAGGACGTTGAGGAAGTGTCGGTAAAAAATTTGGACGAGATTCTGGATATCTCTGCTCAACTTGATTTGATGACGAGCAGTCTCACCGAGAGCGAATTACCCAGTACGCCTATAAGTGGTGAGTGTTGGATCCTTGCTTCTTATTGAAAGTGTATCCATGAACGCTTGTTGCTTCATTAATTTTATTACAACTTGTCGACTCGAATTTATTAATGGGATATATAATATGTATGCAACAGTGGCAAGCTTATCAAAGGACGACACAACTCCTGTAAACGACGGGGAGCATTTTATACGTGACATTAGTCTAACAGGAATTGGAGAGTCTTTGAAAGAAAAATCACCCGTGAAAGACAGTGTTGCTGTTGAAAACGAGTACGTACAATTACGGTATTATATACATATTTTGCAAATCAATTTACAGAATAATTATATTATTTTACATTACTTTGTAGTAAAAACATCGAACATAGCACGCTGAGATTGCCGCTGCAGCCGTTGGACCTTAAAAAGAATGACGCGAACGTTCCAAGACTGAAGGAGATTACCCCCGGCCAAGATTTATTGGAATGGTGTAAGGAAGTTACGAAGGACTCTCCCGGCGTCAAAGTCACCAATCTGACGACATCCTGGAGGAACGGAATGGCGTTTTGCGCGATTATTCATCACTTCAGACCCGATCTGATGTAAGTACTCTTATAAGACTCGGCCCTCGATCGGATGTCGTAATTATTCCTAAAGTGTGTTTCATTCTTCGCGCAACCTTTTCCCGGGATAAAATGTCAATAGACATTCTTGGCAGTGTGCCGGTTATTTTATTCGCGTATTCCATTAATAAACACTTTGAAACCGTCATTGTCTTGCGTCGAGTGACAACTCGTGCCAACATTTTGACGATTATTTTTGATGCTGGAAGGGTCGACGCATTTGCGTATTTATAGCGGCGTAATGCAGAACAGAAGTTCGATTGCGAGTTTTTCGATCAAATTAAATAATAACCCGAAATAAAACAAATCTTGCAGAGACGTCGATACCCTGTTGCCGCACGATGTGAAAGGCAACTGCAAGAAGGCGTTCGACGCGGGCGAAGCTCTGGGCATACCGAGAGTTATTGAACCAGCTGACATGGATATATTAACGGTACCTGATAAATTAGCTGTGATGACGTATTTGTATCAGTTGAGAGCGCACTTTACCGGCCACGAACTGGAGGTATGTATTTCGAAATTTATTTACGTAACATTATTTATGTAACAGCTTTACATTCGATTATTGCAGTTTTTTTTTTGCGCAATGTTACAGCATCGTGAGCTAATAATATATTACTGTTTTAAAAAATCCAGGTACATCAAATAGGTAAAACGACAGACGAGTCCTCTTACATGATCGGCAGATTTAATACGGACAACAACACGGACGTGAGTGTTCAACTGTTTGGTCAGGAGATTATTAACTTGCGGAAGAAGGAACAGATGGATCAGAAGAACAACAAAGCGGAGAGTAACAGACGGTAAATATATTCTCATTCTAACGTTGTGTAATCTACCGAACTGCCAGTCCGAGGCGCGTTCCTGGCGAGAGAAACGTTTTATCAGGAGGAAGATTAGAAAATTGCAATTCACTGCCCGTAGGTCGAATCCGTTCGATAATAAGAAGGACGAAATTAGCATCGACTCGTTAAAAAACAAGTTGCACTTGAGCCTAAACACGGACCATCAGGATCACGATCAGTGTAACAAGGATAAATCGCCGTCCAGCGTGAAGGAGGTCAAGGACATCATACTGGCCAGCTCGAAGAGCATTCTGGGCAAGGTGCTGTCGCCGACCAAGGAGAAGTACTCGTCGAGAGAGAAGGTAAGATGATACGCGGGCCGAGCACTCGGGTCAATTTTTTTCGACGTTTTTGCGATTATATATTCCCGAGAATTGTGTCTAGAGAAACGGGTGTGTCGCGTATTGTATGATATTCCGACGCGGAATTTCTCGCGCAAATTCTCTCTTTCTCTCTTGTGAGGAAATGAAAATACCAATTTACCGCAGAGCAAGTCTCCGCCGAGAGTGCAACAAGCGCAGCAACGTCCGATACTTATGACACGCCGGCAATTAACCGATCCGTTCGGCTCCGACGACGAAGAGGAGAACATACAGATAATGACAGACGACAAATGGTCGCAATCGATCTCGCTTACCAAATCGCAAAGTCCGGTCCGTGATGTCAGTATATACGAGATTGCGCAGACTGTCGCTTTTTATGCATTCCTTCTGTTATACCTACGCTCTGCATTAACAATCAACCCATAACCCGCGCACTGTTGTATTATCTCTCTCCCTTTCTGTTGTTTCTTTTCATCGGCGAACTTACATTATCAAAAAATGCATTGTCTATAAAAAGGTCTGTTCCCTTATTTCACTGTTTGTCCAGTTATTAGACGGACAGATTGTAAATCAAGCGCAGCTTGGCGGGCAGGGATTGCGCCTACATAACACACGGTGTATAACTGCATGTAAATATGCATGAGGAAATCGAGCATAACATGTTTCTCGCGCGATGCACGAAATTGTAGATTTGTACGGGCTGTCCCATGAGCTTCGCTTTAAAGATTCCATGGCGCAAATTTAATTTCCATAACAGATTTTGTTTTTTTTTGTAATTAATTTTAATATATATTTATATATTTGTTTAAATTATAAGGATGTTAAATATTCAGAGTTTAAATACTGTAAAAATTACCTTCAAGAGATAGGAACCTCGCAAAATCTTGCGCATTCTGTAACAGAGCGTCAAGTGATGTATCGGCATTATTTAGTTTCTTTTTTTGCGGATTTCACACTTTTTTTCTTAATGTACCGCGTTTTTCTCAGAAGAAACACAAAAATTTTTATATGTATACTATAATTAGAGAATATCTAATTGAAAACACTTTGTAAATTTGACAGTTTTTTATGTAATTACATAATTACATTGTTGCTTTAATAATCTGCGTTTATTTATTTTTTTCACCGCGTGCGAAAACATATTCTTGGTTCTCTGAATCGTACATTCACGAAGGAGCTTTGCAAACAATGTACCGTGATGCAACGAAGGCTATGCAAACGTATTGAGGACAGTCTTTTGTAGGACTCGGTAAACTCTGACGATAAAGGAAGTCGAGGTAGTTCCGAATGTCAAGGTGCATCGCCGCCGTATGGAGAACAACGTTCACAACATGTAATTAACAATATTTGCTTTATCGCTTTTAATGTCATACCATATCAGTGTCCCAATAGCACAACAAAAACCACAAGTTGTTCGAAATAAATTTTATCAATGCTCAGTAGTCTCGCACTGATCTCGTCTAATATCTTCTCTATTATCGTTTCTATTATCTTTTTTGTGTCAGCCGTTAGTTAGCCGGCACGATGAATTGCGGGAGCGAGCGAGGCAACTCCTAGAACAAGCCAGGAGCCAGACGAAGCCATCCGGATACGTTTCCGCCGCGATCAGTCCCGTCGAGGTTCTACATTTTTATTTTCGTAGCGTTGAAGAATTAATCGAGGAATACAATTGCGAGCGTTCGCGTTAATGTGACATAATTTTGTAGACGCAGAATGATGACGAGAGGCAACAGCAGTTACGAGAAAGGGCGAGACGATTGATTGCAGAAGTGAAAATGGGCGTCGCTGTGACTCCGAGTCAACTGAATGACGATAACAATAGCGACAGACGATCGATAGACGATCAGAATAATAGTCCTAGACGCAGCATTACGCCGTCGACACCCGGCGATCGGATCAGCATAAAGGTACTGCAAATGCGCGATACCGTCTACTTTCTTTTTTCGCACAATTTTATAGCAAAATGATAAATTGTAATTTTTTAGTCCGAGTACAATGGAAATATATTGGGGAGCTCGAGTGTGATAGACGGAGAAAAGAAAACTGGCTCGCCTTTGTATTCCTTCTCCAAAATCATCGAAAGAATCTCACCCGATAAAGGAAGCCCCGACAGAACTCCGTACACACTTCGCGGGGTACGTTAATTTGAATTATTAATTTAACTCTCCGGTGTAATTAGAAAAGTTGTGACGCGACGTACAATACTAGAAACAATTTGCATATATTGAGTTGCTTAAATAAGCAAAGCTTGTCTAGCTTTAATGACAATTTATCCTTAATTATAATTCAATTTCAGTTGGGCAAGGACATGACGTCATATATTCAAAACGAGCTCGAAGCACTTGAAAGAGAGCAGAATCAGATTGACATACAAGCTGGCAAGCTTGAGAAGCAATTGAGAGCAGCCATGGAGAGCGATAACGAAGATGAAACGGAAAGACTGATGTCTCTGTGGTTCACTCTTGTCAACAAAAAAAATGCGCTCTTAAGAAGACAGATGCAACTAAACATACTGTAAGCGATTCATTCGTTCAAACATATTAATTTTTCGTGTTTTTTTTTCAACTTTGATTAATAAAAATTGAATAGAATGACGTCACAGTAATCTTAATTCAATAAAATGAACCTTTTATCTTTAGGGAGAAAGAAGACGATTTAGAGCGAAGATTCGAGCTCTTGAACCACGAATTAAGAAGCATCCTCGCGGTGGAAGATTGGCAAAAGACGCCCGAGCAAAAAATGCGTGAAAATTTATTGTTGGAGGAGTTAGTATCCATTGTGAACAAAAGGGATGAATTGGTGCATCATCTCGACACACAAGAAAGAGCGTGAGTGTATAATAAATAGATACGTTACGCTGTTATTTATCTAAAGTCACTAAGTTTTGCTTTATTTGGAATAATTTCTAGTATTGAGGATGACGACGAGATAGAGCGTGACTTATCTCGCGCTGGACTAGCTCAACGAAACAAAAATTGCGTTGTGCAATGAGGAGTTAATTTACTGCGTTTTTTCAACATTATTGTAAAGGTAAATTGCGTACATTATATAATATGTTCTAAAAAAATGAGAGAAATGGATAACAAATACAATTAAATTTATTATTTACCTAAAATTATTTAAATAATTCTTGTAGTAATTTGGCTGTTATAAATAAATTTTAAATTAAAAATTTATTTAAATTAAATTTTTCAAATTTTTCTTGTTGAATAACTGTCTGATTAAAGTAAATTAATTTTTACTCGACAATTTTTATATTGAGCTTTTTTATTTAACTTAACTATTGAGTCTCCTATTTCCCAAAATTTCTTTTATAAAAATTAATATATATATATATAAAGCTTTTTCCATTTGCAGGCATGACCCATGTTGCTGTGGAGTTGCCAAAAAGTCAACAAAATTAGAGATCGAAGAGTTAAGTGTGAATTTTCATGGTTTACAAACAGGTTATTTTTAGAGGCTCATTTTTTATTATGCATTGTAGATTAATTCATCATAAGGATAGACAAAGAAATTTCTCCATTCTCTTTGTTTTTAATATAAGGTCATCGATCAATAATTCGCGACGAAAGAAAAATGGAATTAAAGTCAGAAAATAATGTCGAATTATCATAAATTGATTAAATGATTTTTTTTTGTATCGAGCACAATTGATTATATAATATAAGCATTTTATGCTTCAAGTGAAATGTCGCGCGTTAGTAGGACTGCGTGCAAATATATGAAATGTGCTACGGAGTGAGGAATCGTGCAAAGCAGTTTACGAATCAGTGAGTAGACGAAAGGGGATACGAGTTTTTCTTCTTTCTCGAATAAAATATTCGGCGATTAGCGAAATAAGAGCGAACGCAAATGCAAAGGAGCTCGGAAAGAATGCGAGTTAGTGATAAGAATATGTTTTAACGAGATTCAAGATCTAATTACGAAGCTAATTTAGATCTAACTGTATATTTAAAAAGTTTGTTTTATATATAAAATAGCGGGTGGTTCAAGAGAGTATAAACTGAATGCGGTTCTTTCTTGCAAGTGAACTCTAGACATTTCGTTTATGTGAAACATTATTATTTCGCGATTTAATTGTTAAGAGATTTAATATCGGAAAGCCAAAGAAAGTTAAAAAGCGAGTTGTTACGCAAGAACACGCGAGAGATGGAGAGCAATTTAGCGAATATATCTCGCGACAAGATCGATCGAAATCGATTTACGGAAAATTGATAGTGGAACTGTTGCGGAAAGTGAGATCACGTCGGCGTATATATATAGTTTTTCGTGTTTCGCAACCGTCGTTCCCATCGAGCATTCGCATGTACTCCTATTTGTGCCATACGAACGAATTGATATACCTTTTACATCCTACTGACGGGTTTGTATTAAATGCAGGGCAATGCATTAAAAACAAATTCGATAATCTTATTGACGGTATACGGCGATTTTAAGAGGAAACCGTATAGTAAGATTAATTTTTACTAAGACTAATTCTTATATGTGGTAATATTCTGCGTGTAATAAGAATATTATGTTGACTTTCTATAACTTTCTATAACCAACTGGTGCGTTATATTTAAGTGTTTTGGCTAACAGCATGTGCAAAGAAAGAAAACAAATCCGCTCAATTTTTCGGCTTAACGGATCTCGGCGGCAAGAAATTAACATACGAATGTTCATTACGTTCGTTGTTCCGTTTGGAACGTTTTCCGAAACTGGCTGAATATAAATAATTATCATCCTTTTATAACTGCTACACATGCGAAATTGTTGACAAATATTGTGAATGACAAAAAGTACATTTTTTAGTACAAGTGTGCTCCGTAAAATGAAAAATAGGATACAGAGCAGGGTTTACCTGCTGAAAGCAATATGTGTTGTGGGATACAGATGTATGTACATCTATTTCCCGTAACGCAAGATAAAATTATTTTTTAACTCTTTGTTTCATTGTGTGATTTTATTATGAAATCACAAATTTAATATTTAGATACTGAAAGAATACTCCAATTTTAATTAAAAATATCGATTTGCTTTATTGAACATCCGTAGTTATAGTAAAAGATTTGGAAAATTTATAATTTTCTAATGGAATTCATGAAATAAAGAGTTAAAAGCAGAGCGTATAGAGGTTAGTTGTTTTTTATGTGTGTTACGCTTGACAATCACATAGTGAATGTTATCCAAATTTTTCACCGAGCAAAGGATTAGAAGTTATGAATGTGTTTCGACGCCATTATTACCTACAATTCGATGTAGCGTGATCTTCGAAAGTTGAAAATATGTTGTCTCTCTGTTGAATAATCTTTATTTAAATAAATTGTAAATTTTGCGTTAATATATAATACAAACTATTCATAATTATATTGTTGCTGTATTACAATGTATGCATCGAAGAACTTTGTACGAAAGCTTGAAACATCGGGACGTCGATATAATTGAGGACAGTACGACAATGCAAATATATATATATATATATATATATATATATATATATATATATATATGTATATATGTTCCAAGTAGACCATATAAAACCGCCCTCCCGGAAGCATTATATAATTATCGGAACGTATTTAGAGTATACGCAATTAAAGCTTATAAGAACATTGGAGAATTGTCTCCTCTCGACATCGTAATATATATATATATATATATATATATATATATATATATATATATACCTATAATTAAATCGAGTATCATAGCACCTTAAACGATTTTATATTTTCACTTGTAACTTCGCTCCTCGTATTTTTTTTTTATTATTTTAAGTTCTCGCAAGAAATCCGTTAAGCTAGAGTCATAGAATATTGCTGAAGTCCTTAGCAAAAAGAGGAGAAATGATTCTTGAAATATATACGATTGGAATATTGAGAAACGAGACAGATAATTCTAAGTTGCAAAGTGTGATCTCTGCTCTGTTAGACCGAATCGCTCATTACACGATCTCATTGTGGAGTTCAATGCATTCTAAAATCTAAATAGGCAATTATAAATCTATATATATATATATATATATATATATATGTGTGTGTATATATATATATATGTATGTATGTATATTATACTGGCTCCATCACAGTGGTTTGAATTTTTCTCGCGGTCTAGGAGGTAAAACGCGACTAGGGGCTATCGATTAAACGACAAATAATTTAGCAATAATTTATTATTCTAGTGCCTATATGAATACTTGTATGTTTATAAAAAAAACCGTAGCACACCGAATTAACTTTTAATTTATTTTACTCTGTACTACTATATGAAAGATAATTATTGTAAAGATAATCGTTCTTGCCAATGCTGTAGTGTCTTGTGGAGATGTGCTGCTCTATTTTCCTTTGCCGATGTTAATCGTAATGTATGTGAGAGTGCCGAGCGAACAAAGGGGGAAAAAAAAAACGTATCACGCAATATTCGCCATTAATATGGGAAGACTTATAAAGCACTGCGGAAGGAAACAATAAATACGATGTTGATGATACTAAGAGTGCCATTTTATTCAATTATATTAATAAAATTCATATTATCTGCATATAAGTGGAACTAATTCTGGAATAAAAAATCGACTTTCTATCATTTGACATCTTGCATAAATAAAATACCGAAGATGAAGCGTATTAGATAAAAAGACACGAGAAACAGCTAAAAGTTAGAAGGACGAAACAAAATGCATTGAGAGATGATAGAATTTTATTAGCATGTACTTGTGATGGCAGTGACGCTATATACATCATGTTACTCGCTTATGCAATTTTAATGACTGCTCGTCACCTCCGCAATGGTAACCGTGACAATGTGTTGACTATATATAAATATATCGATCGCGCTGTACATTACGAAAAGTTAAACAGATTACTTGTCTATCGTACACTAGTTAACAGTAAAAGCGACATATCTTGTACAGATATATTGCTCCTTAAATCTCATAACGGAGATATTTCATCGGACAAAGTTTACCAAACTAATCATCGAATAATGCGACGAGAAACATTTCTTTGGACGTTTAGACAAAAATATAGGTTCGAACGATAATATTATACTATCATTCCATAACCATCATTATTTGATTTTTCCATCGTCTTTGTTAAATGACGAACCGAACCATCTTTACAAAATTATCGCGTTTTCTTTCAATGATAAATCCTTTGACTTCTCGTTGGCTTTGGTATTAATAGACTCTTCCTGTTAATATTTAATTAAAAACGCGTAACAATAAGTATGTTATGGAGCACAAAAATTGCGAATAACAGGTACAATTGTACTTATTAAAATTTACGTTTCGGTTTCGTGTAATTAATAGTAATATTTTTTTCGTTGGCTATTGATTACGGAATTCATATTTTTTCTACATAGTTGGAAGGGAACAGACCGGTCTTCCCTTTCAATCTTCCGTGCCACCAACCACCCTCATCTGAAAAAAAAAATATTTTTTCAGATTATGATTTTTTTAACATGTAAATTGAAGGACTAATACAAAAAATTTTTTCTGATTAATCAGTTTCACAATTTCTATTTTGTATCTTTTTATGTATGCTGAACATTTGTTGTTATTCATTATGAAAACAAGATCGCATTGTGACAACTCACGTTCTCTGAGTACTTCTAGGATGTCGCCTTCCTTGAGCCCTAGCTCGTCCAGATCCTGCGGCTCATAGTCGTATAAGGCTTTAACTTTTGGTAAAATCGGAGGCGCCGGTTTCTGGGGAGGCACCCTTTTGTTAGCCACCGCATACGCGGCGCTATCTTCGTTGCTCTTTTCAAACGTGTTGTTGATTTGCATCATATTCCATTCCTGGGTCGTTTGCATTCCTTTATTGAGATGATCATCAGAAACCTTATCATCAGAAACCTGTTCATCGCTAACAGGAGATGGTATGAATCCCGTGGGCTCGTTCGGTGGTGGTGGCTCCGTGGGTGGTGGAGGAAATTTGAGTATACCTTTGATCGGCTCTGAATTGTTAAAAACAAAGAGATATTTAAGCAAATTTTTACAAAAATACTAATTTATATAATATTATACGTTATAATAAAATATTGCCAATAAACGCGCGCGAATTAGAAATAGGAAAAGGGGTGAATTTTTTTTGTGATTTATACTTTTTCTAATACGCTGCTGTCCACCTAATTTCATGAAGCAAAGCGAATAGCAAAATTTTGTTTGAAACTATGACTTTCCTTGCAAGTTAATACTTCCGTGTTTTGTTTATTTCTTTAGTAATTCTTCAAATTAAATTGATCAAAACTTACTACGCTGTCCAGCACCGGGATTGAGCTGCTTGTCCCGCAGCTTGTTCGTCCCATTTCTCACGTCCTTTGGAAACTGTATAGGTTGTAGATTTGGACGATTCGGTGGAATGTTCGGTCTACCGTTCGATACAGGAGTCAGAGATCTTACGGCCGCCACCGGACGTAGAGGAGGTCTCCCGGTCATAATCGCCTGATTATGATTCTGGGCTGCGATGATCGGAGCTAGATCGCACATCGGCGGTGCCGCCGGACGAATCGGCCTCTGGATCGAGAAGCTGCGCGAACGAACGAACGATGTCGCCGATCGGTTCATCTTGGGTTCTGACACAGAAAGATACAGATTTATGTATTTTTTCGTTACATTTACTCAGATATTAAATATCCTGACAGTTTGCGCGTGTAAGATTGAATATCGAGAATTATCATCGGTCGAGGTTCCAATCAGGAAACTGGAACTTACTCGCTGTGCTCGGTAAACCTGGACCGATGTTGACAGTGAGAATTTTGCCGGACGCTTTTAAAATCTCTTTATCGCCGTAATCCGTTTGCATGAACTTCACGGTCCTCGTCCCACCGCCGCCCCAGCCTTCCTTCTTCACTTTAAACTCTAATCTGAAAGGAAACAGTTTTCATTCTCAAGCCCACGATGTATTACGCTGCGCTAATGATGTGTGGAAAATGTAAAGAAAAAAAGAATAGCCGTACTCGTTGCCAAATCTGACGTTTAAACAATGACCGAGATCTTCCAGATACCTCCTGCAGAGGCTGGCTAGAAACTCCGTTTTGAATACTGATTCTAGCAAGCTGGCGTAGTCCTCCCTCACGTGAATTGCTATGAAATTGTCCTGAAAAACGGGAAATATTATCGAAATGTCTCTAATTAGTAGAATACCGCCAGCATAAAGAATCATAAAATAATAATTACTTGTAACTTGCTTAACGATACGTAGCTGATCTGATTAAACGGAATTCTCCTTTTAATAACTTCGATAGAGTTGCCCTTTTCGGCACCTTTCTTTATCTGCTCTCGACCAATCAAATAGATGCATTTCCCCGTGAGGATGAGATCCCTTCTGCACATCTGTTACATAAATCACTTGTCGTGCACAAGTCGCTTAAATCTTAAGTTAATCTTAAATCTTAATTAGTTCAGAAAGTTAAAATTGTTAAGAAGTTAAGAAGAAAAAAAATGATGTGTGTTTTCAAATAGATTTCCTTAAAATTACAATAAAATAATTCTTGCAGAGCACAAATTAAAGAATTTGAAGTTGTCGAAATCAATATATTTTTACCTTGAATCTTCTGTCGTATTTTTTCACGACTTCGGCGAAAAAAACTTTCTCCCGCCTGCCGATCAGAGCCATCGTCTGCGGCTTGCCCTCCAACCCTATATAATCGCCGACAAAGTTTCTGTTTATGCTCGCCCGTCGTCGCTCTTTATGGCTGAAGAGAAGATCAGCCGCTTCCTGTTGGTGCTTCATCTGCCTCTTCCGTGCGAAATACTTCTTGAAGGCTTTCTGAATGACTCGCGCGTACATGTTGTATTTCCGGTCGCGAGCTTCCTCCAGCATGAAGAGCTAAATTTACATGCCGTCTAATGAATCCTTCTGGCAGATGACTTGACTAATCGCGTTATTACTGAAATGAACAAGGACGAGGGGAACTCACGGTTTCGGGCGCCTTGATAAAGAGCTTCGATCTACCGAGCTGATACTGCGATCGATCGATATGAATGCTCCCCAATATCCACTCGATGCCCTGCTTCTCGTCGCCGGGCCAGCGGGGCCACGTTTCTTTCGTGAGAATCGCGTATCTGTGCAGAAACTTGGCGAACGGCCTCCTGTAGGCGAAGCCGGCTCTCCGCACTCTGATGTTCTCCTTCAGACCTAGATACTCCACCTTGAATATTTCATAGGAAAGCTGCGTGATTACTATCATTCGTCAATCTATATCGCGTGCACGTCAAACGCGTCGAATGTGTGTCTTAATTAAGTAATTTTTCAGAGATACGACGAACAACATCGGAGCGATTTGAACTAAAATGTTCACGAGAGAGTAATTAATGATTTTCATTCGGCAACTGACCGACGGACATGACATGTTTCCGGCTGCTTAAAAGATCCGATAGATAATGATAGAAATAGATTTAAACTTTATTGAAATTTTATCTAATTTTATAGTAAAGTTATCGTTTCTATCGGACTCACATATGAGCTACTATAGAGAAGTTATCTATTTCTATCGTTTTTTAATAGTATATCTCACTTAAACATTAAATACACTAAAATACAAATTTGAACGTGTATGTTTTTTTTATATAACTTATAGCGAGTTATCTAATTCAAACTGAAAATTATGATTTGTTATATATTTTATTATATTTGTAAGAAAAATTAAAATTATTTAGATATAAAAGACACAAAATCTCTAAAATATTACATAATAAATCGTACATAAACTGAAAACATTGTACGATAATATATCGCGGCATTGCTGCAATAGTGTCATATCTCGAAAATTGACAATTTTATTCATGACCAGATAACAGTACACGCCAAAATCCATCTTTTTCAATGAATAACTCAAAATTGTCATTTTTCGAGATATGACACTATTGCAGCAATGCCGCGAATTATATCAATTTTGATTAAATATGGTTAACAAAGATAAACATTACTTAAAATAACTTTTAAATTATATGCTATACAGAGTAAAAAGAGATAACAAATCTGATATTTACGAACCAAAAACAGATATAATTTTTAGAATTTTATAGGTTTCTTCTTGTCCAATTTTATTGGATTCTTTAAAAAGAACACTCGTGAATTCTGCATATTAAATTAATTATTATTCGGGCGCGAGCTAAAACGGAAACTATGTCGTATTGACTTTCTCGAACAAAGCGAATTTCAGTGTTATCCGAAGAAGGAAGGAAAGGAGCGTCATGTATAATTGCTCTGGACGTATAAGTCTGACATACTTCGCCGGAATGACACATTGTCGAGCTAAGGCTGAGATAATCCAGAATGTATACATATAAAGTGTCTTTGTTTCCTCTTTTTTTTTTCAAATTTTACGTGTGTAAGCCTGAGGCTTTGGCCAAATACACGTTATCCATGTATTGACTTTAGTAGAGGCATAAAGTACGATGTTTGACGTTTTTGCATTTCTATATGGCACATAGATAAATGCGTACGGTACGTAGACAAATTACAGTACCTGATGCTTGACTCTCAGATGATCCCAATCGCGCGGCTTCTTCGTTTCATTCGGCTTGATGCACCGGATGTAATGCGGCGTGCATTTCATCAGCTGACTGACCAAGCGACTGGCTTGATTTCTGATTTTACTGCCCGCGGTGGTCGGCCTAGACTTAAGAGTCTTCGTCTTGCCGGCGGCATTTTCTGGCGGATAAAGCTCACGCACCAAGAGACTGTAAGATAATTCTCTTTTGTTTTACCTTTTCAACTCTAATTGTTTTAACAATGCTATTAACATTGAAAAAAAAAACATTTTCAACCGCGGAAAATATTTTTCTACTACTTTTGTAGAAAGGCATAAGCGACACTTCGATGAAAAAAGGTAAAATTTAAGTTTATTACGTTACTAATTCAATTAAATATGTAGAGAATCTGTAACTTCTGGTTACCGTTTTGTACGTGACTTTCGTGAAAATTTATGCGGGTCTTACGTAAATAATCTCGCGTAATTGATTAGAATTACGTGATGATTATGTGATAAATCATCGAGAAATTATTTACATAAGCTGGACAAGACAGCTAAATGCAGATATTACCGCTAAAATGCTATTCCGCATTTGTTTGGTGTTTGGATTATAGAAAAACGTAAACGACTAATGCAATTATATGTTAAAGTACCTCAAAACCGCCAATCGCAAATTTTAAAAATAAGAAATTTCATGTTATTATGTAAAATTTATTTATCTCTCATTCAACCTCAAGACTCTACTCAGTTCTGTCTTCCTAGTTTCGCGCTCGTTCCCCGTCAAATATTCCAAACCGATCGGAAAATGAGCTAAGCGGGCTAATTAATCCCCGTCAAGCGGTAACTTTTACATGCAAACTCGCTTTCGGGATAATTTGTCACTCGAAGCATCGACAGTCGTAACGCTAACGGCCTTCGGGATCGCTTACTTCATGCTTGTCTGCATCAACTCGATTAGGTCCAAGAAGAGGACGTCCCGGTTCTTATCGCAGAATCCATCGACAGAGTAGGACACCACGCCGGCGTAATGGAGAATTGCGAAACCGTCACCGGTGTCTTGGAAATGGACGTGCTGCTTAGCCGTTCCCGCCAGTTTCTATGCGCGAAATAAATAATTGATTACAAATTATATATAATTATTATTATACATATATCATATATGTATTAATTTATAAAGCTACACGGAAAAAAATTTACTGTTGCCACAATATAATAATTGTGATAATTTTCGCCCATCAATTCAAAAGGGCTATAGGAACTAAAATACTTTGGAAGTGACTTGTATAATTAACTCTCAGTCTCAATGTTGTAACGTGCATCTATATCATATATATCTCTCAATCATACTATTTGTGTAAACCACATTAGAGAGATAATAATGCTTCGGATTGAGACAATCACATGTATGAAGATATTTTAATCGCATGTTACTTATCATCAGGACAACGTTTGCGCGAACCGTATATAGATATCAATATAATATCAATATAATTTAAATTCACATACATTTCTTTTGCAAACATAAAAAATATTGTTGTAACATCCATAGCAATTTTTTCCGTGTACAAATACGCTTCGGGTACCTTCTTCAAGTCGACGTCGGCACCGGTGCTTCCGCCGTGCAGCGTCGCGCACACGTCGTCGAGAACCAAGAAGAGGCCAGGTGGCCTCTTGCCCTCGAGAAGCTCCACCACGATGGCGTTATTGAAATAATCTATCGGCGTCCATCTGATATTCTCGGAAACGTACTCCTCCTGAAATGAAGCAGAATTCGACCCCGTGACGTATTGTATAGAGAAGAAAAATACCCATACCCATAGTTAATCGAACGGTTTTACGGTATATATAAGGGCAGAGATAAAAAATTAACAGCTGAAGCAACATTAATTTACTTGGCTTACAAAATACCACGTCTTGCTACTTGCTCGATTATTATATAATAAGCCAATGCTACCGATAAGTATGTTACAAAACTCGAAGCGCGTCATTGCGCGGACAATTTAGATCGTCGATCTAACTTTCGTGGAAGATATGCGCGCAGGTTGCAGGAGGCACGGCTCCGCTCGTTGTGTGCATCGAAAATACAGGCTTAATTACGTGCCGCCGCCGGTGTACCGGCGGGTATATCGCGCACGTACAGGCGATTTATATCTCGCTTACCCGAGGCGATAGAAGGGAAAGGCGATAGTAATAACGCGATTGCCGGGCGCTTTTAAAATTCGCTTTCCATTTCAGCTCGTGAGCTGAACCCGAAGGTGCTTCGCCGGGGCCCCGCGGGCCGCCTCGGAAACCGGTCGCCGTTATTTCAGCCCTTCCCATCCCGCGGATTTCGTCCGTTTCGCAATTCGTACACTCCGTTTGTCCCCAACTGCATTCGCACAATTATCGCGAAACGTTGGATGGGACGCGAGAGTCTCTCCCGATTGTCTCAGCTATACCTCCGGTGACGCCCCAAATCTGACAATATCCAGACAACACAAAGTCTAAAAAGCGACGCATAAGATCTCTTTCAGTCATCTTTCAGACAGTTCTCGCGGAAGTGTCTAAAAAGATATTAAAAAAAGCGTTCTATAAAGAACGTCTTCTGCATCAATTTTAGACTTCGTATTGTCTGCGCGCGATGCACATCGATAATGCAAGAGGCGCAGTCGTTCCGCTTCGAAAGCCCCCGCCCGGGGGGAGGGGGGGGTCGATTCGTTCCTAAGTAAACAATTTTAAAGCTCGTTTTTGTGTTCACGAAGGTGTGCGATTCGCGGCCAGGCCAGGTTTTTTTTATCCGGTCTAGTTGCGGTCCGATCGCGCCGCATCGCGACACGCCGCGGACTGAAGAAGTGGCACGATTTTTTCGTCGTGGCCTTTACTCGAGTTAACGACTCTTTTTCATGAGGCCTGGCCTCTTTACGGACGGCCGTGGTTCGGCACGCTGTTTCCGCCGGTTGTTCCTCGGAGGACTGCGCCGCATAATAGCGCCGTCCGACGGAGCCTCCGTTTCCTCCCGTGTATATACACACAAACTCCGGACGCCGTGCAGGAGGCTCATCACGAAGAGGCTCGGCGTGATGTATCCGCGTGTGTACATATAACGTACGTCGCGCGAGCAGGAATTTTTCGCGCGCGAAACTTCCGCGTTGCAAATAATAGAAATCAGCGGACGGGGATCGCTCGAGCGACGCTTGAGTGATTTGCGAATGAATGGTTTCGCGTGATGGATAATTAATGCGTGCCAAATTTGGCACGTACGCGCGATTCTTTCGCGTTCTTTCGGAGCAGGCGTGCTTTCACTCCATGCGGCGGCGATTCCGGTGTTATTTGTTTCACCCGAGTTCCAACCACTTCGCCGGCTTTCGTTCTACCGCCGGACTACAGTCGAGCGACTTTATCAAGATGAAAATTAAATTACTCTAATTACGTGCCGGTAATAATATTGCAACATATAATGCGATACAGATACAAATGTAAATTCATTTAAAGTAAAATAACAGAAATGCATATCGCATGCAGGGGGAAATACGTGCTATATTCATAACCTTTTGAACCTTAAAAATTGGCGACTTAATTCTCACGCGTTTAATATGTACCCCGCGAGAGAGTGAGAGAAGAAAATAAAGACACACACCGCGAACGTTTAATTAGCCGCGCTTTCTCGACCTCGCTGTGATAATTGCGATAAGCAAATTAGCCGCCCGACCCCGTTGATCACACGCAATTATACTTTGTCGTGTGCGCGAGCTAATATCGCATAAAACACACGCGGTAAAGTGGAGTCGTGCGTTTCGGTGGTGGTTACGACTGCGCGTATAAGTGCCCATTACGCACTCGCGCGCCGGAGTCGTACTTAATGATCTGTTATTTCGCCGCGCGCGTACATGCATACGCGGTCTCTCATCTCTCGTTTCGCGTAACGTAACGCGTCGTCCGCGGTGTCATTCGCGGCGATGGATTTTTTTTTGCGTCCGTCCGTCTCTCGTCTTCAGCGGACAACCGTGACGAGATCGAGGAAAAAGCGCGAGGAGAAAAAGCTACGGGAAAACAAAGGAGAGCGCCCGCGATAGCTCGGGATCGAACTGGCTTGAAGCTGTCATAGTGTCATTCGTTCAATCCGCGGACAATATCGTATCTTCCATTTGTGTCCGTCTGACGCCGTCTCTCGCGCCGCGTAATTTTTCCAACTTGCGTCCGTTTCACCTTCGATCGTATATCTTTACACGCTTACGTCCGCCGCTATCCGTAGGCGGTGGCGGCGGTCCAACGCGCCCGATCCAACGGATACGTGCTCTGATTTGCCGTACGGCATCGCGGAATGCGTCCACGAAATGCATTGTCGTGTCGTGTACCCGGCGCGGCATCCGTCGCACCAGCCAGGGCACCGAGGAGGTGCGTCGCAAATGCAGCACCGATGCTTCTGCCCGTAAGCGCGAACGCGAGCAATTTCCGGCTATTTTCTCAAAGCGGATTCCGTTAGACGGGACAATAATTAAAATAGCGCCTCGTTTAACACACGCGCGTGTGAACAATACCGCACGCGAGGGTATATGTGCCGACCTGCATTTTGCAACGGAGTACCTTATTCTCTGATTGTTATATTTGACCGGTGTTTCATTTATTTTATAAGAATAATTCTGCTTTCGGTGCGTGCAGCGTTTGTTAGTTTTTTCACGGTGATAGAGTTCGCTGCAAAAAAAAATTACCTTGTGAAGAAGGGAAAGTTATTAATTTTTTTAATTTTCATAAATAACTTAATACGAAAATTAAAAAAGTAGCTCGTCTTGCATTTTAATTCATCGAAACCAAATTTAATTAATATTCATATATTCGCAGTAATTTTTTTTTAATTATTAATTCGAATACCGATCTCTCCGATTATCTCACATTCCAGAAACACTCCGCTTTACACTTTTACGAGAACAAGTGCCTGATGCACACGCCACGCACACACTTGTTTCGAATTAACATTAATGAGCTGAAAAAAAAGGTCGCGACGGACAGACTAATTAGATCGGGAGTCACAAATGCTTCTCATGGGAAACCGTGCTTCATTGTTGCCGGAATTGCTGGGTTTGGCGAGAGGAGAAGAGCGGGTAGAAAAACGTAGATAATGGAGAAGATGGATGTGTGTATTCTGGGTTAACGACGGTGAAAATGAAGAGAGAAAGAAAGATAGAGAGTCTCGATTTTGCGAGAGATCACCGGATTTGTGCAACAGTTAGATGCCAAATGTCAATTACCGTCTCCGTTTAAGCTGTTTTGTTCCCTAACAAAATTCTTCCTGCATTAAAAGGACACACAAAAGAACTGTAACTGTGGTGATCTATATTTTTATATATCGAAGATTTTGTGTGCCACATGGAGCACATAAATTTTTCATATTTGTTCATTTATGCGAGATTAGTAAGAATTTTGACGAAGGAAAAATCTACGTATTTTAAATTTTGACAAAAAATTCATCTTATTACGCGACCAAAATTCCATATATATTTTCATACGTAATTATGATACTGCATATATCTCGAAATCTTTATAGCTTCAACTTCATTGTACCTTTGTAGTACATATTCCATATATATTTTTAAATAAATATTATTTTAACAAGCGCGAAGACTGGCGTGTACTACAAAGGTACAACGAAGTTGAAGCTATAAAGATTTCGAGATATGCATCAGAGAGTATCATAATTACGTATCACTTTAATTTCAGTGTCTTCATTGTCTCTTACCAGAATATAAAGCTAACTGTATTCTTATCGCGACGCGCGATCGAGAACGCGAAAGATGTCATCTTGATATACATCCACGAGGAATTCAATGGTCACCATTGTTGCGACAATGTTGACTTTATTACGGAGATGCGCACGGCCATTACGCTATAATCGCTAGACAGACCGCTAATCTGGAGGCAAAACAACTTCCTCGCAACATTGAAGCAAAACAATTCAATTTGCGGCCACGATTCTTGTATAAATAAAGCATCCGTATCGCACAAAAGTGCGCATTTAAAGTAACGCGAAAATAAAACCATCATTTTGTGGTCGACATAAAAGAAAAAGGATGTATCTTAGACCGATTTTACATCGTTAGGATTGACCTTGTTGCGAGAGTATGTTTGACAGGTGCATTTCCGCCCGAGCCACGTGCGCCGCAGAAAAGGATTTAAAAGCCGCCGCGACCAAGAGAGATACGCGACCAATCGAGGAACCCCGTGGCGCGAGGAGTGGTGGAAAGCCGCACGTGGGAAGAACAAGGGAGAAAGAGAGACGGCGATCGCTTCACTTAGCTATTTCATTACCTTCACTCGATCCTTGGCCGCAGTGCACACGGAGCGGAGCCGCGATCGTAACGTTTTGTTCCTCCGCGCCGCGAATGGTATGCCGATCGGCGCGATCCTCGCGCGCACGCGGACGAATGGACCGCGCGTTACGTAATAATAATAAAAAGACCGAGTGATCCGCTTGCCGGGAGGAAGATTCGCGGATTTTTTGCGGAGTCAGGAGGCGACAGCCGAGGTGGACGATCTCGCAGAGGCGCCAAGGATCCAAGGAGATCGCATGCTCGTTGCTTCGTGAGTCTCAGGTACGTTTGATTCATTCCGAAATGAATGCCTCTTTGGCATCTTTATTAGCACTCATTTATATGCGTGTCAACAAACAATCGATTAACATTAATATCCATTAGTGTTGTTGGCCAAGTTTTAGCATTGTCGGCCTCAATGGAACGCCTCCTAGTTGTAAGTGTACCAACGGTAACAGTCTCTCTCGCGATTCGCCACGGTTGAACGAGAGACAGTGTCTGGCGATTTACGTGTCCGCCTTGTGAACGTCTCGCGACGAACGGCGGCCGCGACGATCAATTTAAATAGCGCGACGGAGACAAGGCGAAAGAAGATTCGTCATGTCACGGATGACGTTCGGATATGGAAGTGGCATTCAGATTTTATCGTTGCGGTTATCCCCATACCGCTATTGCGCGTTCGAACCTCGCTCGTAAAGTCGGAGAGGACTTAAATCTCGATTCGCGTGTATAAGCGTGACAGGTGATCTGTAAAGGTACAGTTGTTTAAGACGCGGTAAATCGTCAGCGAAATGGAAACTACGTACGACGTTTATTCGTCGTGTCTAAAACACGATTCGTTGTAACGATTATATCTTGAGCGCGGAAATATAATTCTCGAATTAAATCTTGTTTTATTGCAAATAAGCATTTATAAATATATATATATAATTATATATATATTTATAAATATATATATTTCGTGAAAAGTTAAAATGAAAGAAAAAGGAAAAGATAACGAGACGATCTTGAAAATGATCTACGCCTACGCGAATTGCGTCGTGATATCAAGTATCGCGTGAGTCGATATTCATTTATATAGATACTTCGCAACATGTCGGTGCGTGCTAGATTAAACCGCTCGCTATCCGCCAATATTCTTTAATGAAACTTAATTGCCGCGCGTTGTGAAACGCCATCGCGAACTGCAGCTCGAACAAAGAGCGGCCGCAAAGTCGTAATCAAACGAGTCTCATAAACGTTCGCGAAGTGCGCTTACCGCTCTCTTAACCAGTCCCGACAAGCTTGATTAGCGTTAGAAAAATGAAGCGGCGAGGACGGAGAATAATCGGAGCGCGCGCGGGGGAGTGCAAGAGTCGCTTCGTCTTCGGCAGCGTTGATTAATCGTTTGATCGATCGTTCGTTTACTTCCCTCTCTATATAGAAAAGTTTCGCGCTTCCCTTCGTTTTCCGCATAAGGGTGCGCAGAAGGAGAAAAAAGAAGCAAGCGAGGTGACTTTGATTCACGCGCGCGCGCGCGCGCGCCCGATCGAAAAAGCGCGATTACGTAAAGGACCAATTAAGTGCCCGTGCCCGGGCGCGCTCGTTTTCGTGTCCGCTGCGGGACAATCGTGATCGATCCATCAAAGCGATGACTCGCACGTTTTCAGATCGGGTGATCATTTCCTGCGCGGCGGAACGGAAGGAGAAAAGGCGCGGCGCTCTAGTTGCGGGTCTCTCTCTCTCTCTTTTTTTTTCCTTTTTTTTCCAGTGAGAGGCACGTAACACTTTTTATATTTTGAGCAAGACGTCGGCATATTCACGGATTGCGCGGCGCGGCGCCGTACCGAATAACGATCGTCAATTATCGCTTTCCGCGTCATACGGCCGAGTATATACTATTTCTGTTTGCCATTGTGAAACCCTTCCTCCCCGTCAGGGGTGATTTCGTAACGCGCGCGTTATACAGGGAGCGAGGAAAGAAAGAATGATGACGTCGCCGTTTTAGCACTTTCAATAAAGGACCAAAGCAATTTATCTCCAACAGGACGGTTTATATATATATATATATATGTATATACACGCTCGAAAGTCGTCTTTGAAACTATTTAAAAAGGTATACTGCAGCACTTAGACAATATCCCCGCGGGCAGGGCGGGATATCCCCTCTGGGGGGCCTTGACCACACACTCTCACTTTCGTTCTGGTGTGAATTTAATTGCACCTCCGCCCACCTCGCCACCCGGAGGCCGATCGACGGCGGATCGGGGAACGATAACGCGACCCGCGAGTGTATTTACGTAAGAACGGCAAGTGCCCGGTAAGTGTGGCGTGGGAGTCGACCGAGGTTCGCATGCAACCGCCGCGGCATGCAGCGTTTCCTCGACTTTCTAAGGTTCCGGCGATACCGCGCACCGCGCTGACCATCGCCGCCGCGTTGTCCGCTGTGCGTGACTTAACGCGGCGATATCATCGCGCCGAGGAGCGTTACTTGCCGAGCGGATTTTCCAATAATCTCCAGTCCATCTGAAATCGGCCGCGCTTTCTAGGAATCTCCCCCCCCCCCCGCGCCCCGTAATATCGCGAAAGAGATCTCTCTCGAAAACACAGCCGAAAACACGGCGTTTATCCCTTGCGAGCTATGGTATTAGGAAAGCGAATCGACATCGACTTTCGATCATTCGTATCGTCGATCCCGTTACCCGTTCCGCGCACGATTACGAATACTAATTAATAGTGAAATCGGGGCCCAGCACGCGTCACCGATTTCGCATCCCTCCTCGCAACTCAACTTCCTTTATTTACGCGCGACTATCCCCACCTCTATCTTATCGTAGACGTAATACACACCGTGATATTGCGACGTCATAAATTTTTCATCGCGAACAGAACAATATAGAGGTTAATTAAAAAACTTGCCGGTGCAATATCTGATACGCGAGTTATTTACTTTATTCCCAGTGGGAGATCCAAGGAATAATTATAAGTTTCACAGTAAATATATCTGTAAAGAGACATTACACATATAATTGTATAACGATATTTTGATGAGCATATAATTGTGATGATATAAACGTATAATTTACAATACACACACACACACACACACATACATTTTTTCCCGTTTTATACTTTTCAATACAAATATTCCTTCGTACAAATATAGGTATTCCTCCTCGGGCATTCGTCCGTTTCTCCAGCCTGGACGCTACTTCTTAAGTATTTCTTCTTATTGTTAGATATTTTTCGCGCGCGTGTAACTGTACCGGGGATTATTTATGAATCCCAGTTTGCATTCAAATTATTCGTTCCAGTCTCGTATCGTACGTCGCGGAGGCTGCGTGTGCGACAATAAATTCTCCCCGTCCTACTTCGCCGCCGTTTCGTCTTCATTCGCTCGCGAGAGATCTACATACGGACGCGACGCGACTCGTAGATACAGCGCGTGCCCGCCTGGCGCACACCACGACACACCACGGCAGCTCTCTAACGCTTTTTATCGATATTAACGAAAAGGTCGAATGTCGGCGTGTATCGTATTTTTTAACTTTGCCCTGCGCTTTAACTCTGCAGCGCTGCATTGCGCGCGATATTTTTCTCTGTCCCGGATAGGAGGATTTTTACACAATTTGAGCGCGATTGATGGACGATCATTCGCATTTCAGCCGGACGTTCATTTGTCAGAACTGGAAACGCCACAATGGACGATGAGTAACAAATCTGTCTTGTTCTATTTTAAACGGACTCGCCCACGTTTGGAGCGGCACGCAGAGATCCATCATTCCATTCGCGCGCACGATACTTTACGATCGCGTTGTAAAACTTGCGGGTATAAGCTCCTCAATTCGAATCGGTATAGAATTTTCGCGGCGCACAAGCAAGATTTATTTTTCCCGTTAAAGTTCGTAACTTGTCGAATCTTCTCGCCATTTACTCCACTTTCAAAATTGTTCGAGGCGACGACGGCCGTGATTATCTGGTTATCAACAGCAGAGGCAAATACTTCTCAGAATTTCGATATCTCGAGAGTTAACGTTCGGGGCCGAAAAAAAGGCCGTCGGAGACTCCGCCGTTTCCTGTTTTCTTTTCGAACTTCCTGACGGAAATCCCGAAGACATTCTTTACCGATCGCGATTAGGGGGAAACCGCGCGATTTCGATTATTCCCCGACCGCAAAAGACTTAAACGATCGAGCCTGTAACTTTCTCGAAAATTAAGCATATTTACTTGGACTTTCTGCGTCTTCGCGACTTGTGGGAAGTGAAATGATAAGCGCTCGCACAGGGCGCAATTAGACACACGTATATAGTCATCTCGGTTCTCTCGACGTAAAAGAAATTTGTCAGCAAGCCCGGAATACGCGGAAATACGCCTGTATAGCATTTCGCGTACCGACGTCCCGAGAGCACGTTTCGAGCACCAACTAGCCGGTTAACTTGTAGCGATATCGTAATTCCGCGCGCGCGGCAAGTATATAGCTGCGCCGTCGAGAGTCCCGCGCGCGAAATTGCGTCACGGCGAGAGGGGAAAATTGCACGGTTGGCATGGAGAGATAAAAAAAAACGCACGCGTGCGAAATGCAATCGGCGCGACGCGCGATGACGTCGACACGAAATGTCAGGGTGCGCGGATTCGGTAAACGCGCGCCGCGCGCCGCGCGCTGGTGAGAACCAGCGCCGCTTGACAGGTCGGCTCCCCACGTGGAGAGTCGCACGCTCCGCTTCATCGAGCCGTCGGAGCCCGAGCACGTTCACCAGGGCAACGATTGCACTTGCACTTTTTAAGAGAACCTGTTCGCCGCGCCGATGCCACACCCACGGTGTGCACAACACGCGGAGGCGCGCGGGATAGAGAACTCGCGGCGAGAGAGTGCAGCGCGCGTGGTGCCCCGGGAAAGAAGGGATCTGCCCGTTATATTGCGTTTATATATTGTGTACACTTCTGCCGGGTGAAACGGTAACGCGAGATTGCCGGACGTCGCGGGGGCACCTCTCTTTGTTGTCCGGTGTACACATCGCGGTGTACCCGCTATACGCTCGTGTAAATATCGTCTATCGCGCGAATACATCTGTTTCGCGAAAACCGGTTTGATAACGTCCTCCTGTATCCTCTCGGTTTATATACACTTCACCCGGGACCCCCCTTGTGTCCTTTTACGCGTTCCGGGATACTGTACATATAGCTTTCTCGATGTAGGCCGCTATCGCGATCGAATTATTCAACGTTATTACGGTAACGCGCTTAGATCGTTTGCTTCTTGAATTTATATCGGAGATTTGTCTTACTTTCGAGATATTATTTCCACCTTTAAGACCTTTCACTGATTGTAAAACATGATCTAGAAAGTACTCCTCGGCTTCAGAAATCCTTAGAGATTTTCTAACTGCGGAGAAACAACCGCGTATTCTTGGTCAGTATGATTAGCACCTCACAATCACACTTAAACCGCTTTCGTAATCGCCCGTAATATTATTCTGTATCATATATACGGTAACTTTTCTCGGTCGACTCGCCGTCGCTATCGCTCGACTGCTCGATAATTATTTCTGTTTTTAATTTCTAATAAATTTCTAATAAAAAACGATAAAATTATATATATATATATTTTTTAAATTAATTTCTAATAGGAGACGATATAAAAAAACTTAAAAGGATAGTGGAGAAAGTAGTGAACAAAACCGAAAAAATTACAAACGATTCGCTGCGGGAATGAAAAAGGTTGTAATTATCCGGCCGGCACGGATACTTTCACGGTCGAAAGAAAAGAAAAAAGAAACGATTTTATTCGGTCTTTAGGAACGTTGTTCTTACTACGATCGCGAATTGTCGAGCGCTAAAATTGATTACTGCAGACGAATAGTTTTCGAGAATTGTATCTTTCATGCTTGAACAGAGTTTCGCGAAAATTGCCCGTGGAATATCGACAGAATAAATTTATAATTTGATTCATGCGGCGCGGAAATAAGTTTCAGCGGTCATTCCATTTGGATGAGATATATCGCTTTCTTAATAATACACTAATAAAAGAGAAAAGAGACTTTCGTTTAGATTGAGCAAGGATTTTAATATACCGCAGAGTTCAATTTTTGACGCGCTCTAAGTGCATACGCAGCGAGAAAGTACTTCGTGTCGCGATTTGTCTATTTCTATAGCTATTCCCAGCGTGAGGATCACTATATCCGTCGTACATTTGGTATTTAAAATATCAACTTGGCGAAATTATATCGGTATTAATCTTAAAATGGCGCGCGAAGACAATGGCTCGTAGCTCACCACGAGGCGTATACCTCGCAAAATGTGAAACCTCACGAAAGCGGCCTTCCGCGAGCGAAGGAAATATCTCTCGGGGTAACAATCCACCGCGGATCAACCGGGAAACGCTACAGAATTAATACACAATTAAAACTATAAATAACCGGAGAGGCGTAAGGACCCGACTGTAGTCGTATAAGCATTGTGAAACAAGGCTTTTTGCCGCACCGCGGGTTCAACCTTGTACCTCGCACCTCGATTATTTGATTCGTGCAGCGCAAGGTGAGCGTATTATCCTGGGGAAATAATCCCTCGATCCCCGTTCAATTATTGCACCATCCGCGCGAGAGGAGAGCTGAATGCTTATTGGAACGTATCGTGTCGTACCCGGCGGGCAATTATCATACCGCGCGGGTAAACTGGCCGTAGAATGTATAGGAAATGGCGAGATGATTTTCATCCAGCCGTCAAAACAGCCGGATTCGTTCGCCGAACGCGCTATAGATATAAGACTGCGGTACACAAAGGCGCGTCAGAGACAATGCCGCGATTCGCACGCCGCGCGAATCGCCGCGCGAGCGGATATCGATCCGCTCCGAATCGCGAGCGTCGATCGTCGTCGTGTTTATTACGCGCGCGCGCAAAAGATCGGGAGATCGGAAAACTATCTATCGGGAACGCGCGAGACTATCAAGCGGCAAAAGTGTAACGAGTCTATTCGGTTTGATTTGCCGCTTCTCTCTCTCTCTCTCTCTCTCTCTCTCTCTCTCTCTCTCTCTTTTCGCGCTCTCTTTCGAGGAATTTATATTTCTTCGCATCGTTCCTCCCGGGAGTAACGCCGAGTCTATAGAAAACCTATAAGTAAGCACCGAGAAAATTGTGCCCGCGTCGATTGTCTACGGCAATTGTCTTTCGAGTGCCACATATAATACGCTCCCTGAATACGCGCGCGTACATACCTTACGTAAGGAAAACAAGAGAAATTGTATCATTTTGTTCACCGGGCCGGGGCCCACCGCGCGCGCGCGCGGGTAAAACTTTCACCACGTTTATTGCTAACGTGCTCGTTACACGGCGTGGTCGAGCACGTCGGCGAGTCCCGTCCCGTTATCTCGTCGTCGTGGCTTCCTGCCGCCGCGGTTTTTCGGCGGCAAGAAAACGCCCAGCGTGAAATCGCCCGACTGGTCCGAGAAGGAAGAAAAAAAAGGAGAGACAGAAATAACACCACGCGCCTGGGCGCGCGACGACCGCCCTGATTACGCGGGACATCCTGTGTCGGGCGCTGTTTCGTGCTAATCGTTATTAATTTCCGGTCTGGCGAATTTCAATTGGAGACACACATGCATTGTGCGTCTTATATAAGCGGGGATTGACCAATCGCGGGAGAGACACCGCCGTAACGCGTTTTCTACAATTTCTCTTTGACGGCCGCACGCCGTGTGCTTTAATAAAACGAGAACGAGACGATTAATCCCGGTCTTGGAGCGCGGCAAAACAAATTTTACAAGAGTACCATGAAAAGAAAGAGGGGGGGAAAAAAACCTTCGACGAAATTATAGTTCAAGTAAACGAGATCAAGCCCGCGTCGTGGACGGAGAGTTTTTCTCACACGGGGAAAACAATCTTTGCAGGATGTCGCGGGGAATTAGTGTCTGCGCCACGGTGCTGCTCGTCCTGTTCGAGTTGACCGCGTCGGCCATGGTGCTGCCGAGGCCACCCTCGTCGCCTAATCACATCCACCAGGAACTGTCCGCGCGCAAATCCCTCGAGGGCAAGTCCCTGCACGGCGCCCTGCGAAGCACCAACGTGGAGAGGCCCGATCCCGAGGACTACAGGTACCAATTCGCTCGAACGTTCGCTCGAACGCGCGCGGCCTTTTCCGCGCCACCGCCTTTTTTTCCTCTCCCTCGAATCGCCCCGATACCGGTACCGATATTATATTCCACGGTCGTCGCACGCTCCGCACCGGCAATTCACTTTCGTCTCGCGCTTAGAATCGCGAACGCGAAGTGATCGATCGGTCCGTCAATTGTTACCGCCCGATCGATCACCGGTATAATCGAAACGTAGAGTTTTGAAATAGTATAAAGACCTTAATCGAGGATCACTCCTCTGACGAATCGATCGTGAATTTGATTTTGCAGTGTCGGAAACTTTATTTGCGTGACCTGCAAAGAGTCTTTTATTAATTTCGTTTCGCCGTAAATATTAACGGATGGACAACGATGTGGACCCGGATAATTATTCCACTCTACTTAACTTTAGAGCTCCTCCTCGGGGAAACTCTACGACTGACTCACCGACGATTACGAAACGATATTTACTCGGGTCTCGCGATTTCAAATCGCCCCCCGAACAAAAGAGGAAAATCCTACCTGAAACCGCGCCGCACTGTTCTTTCCCACCGGCGGAAAGCGGCCCAATTAGCGCGAATGAAAAGCCGTCTTCGTTGCGGGCGCACGAGAAACGTGAGAAACCCGAGCGGGGTAATTGCACCCGTGTAATTTCGACGACGGCTGCAGATTTACGTGACCACAATTCGTATTCTTCGGGCGCCGATATACGCCGCCTGGGGGGGCGCAACCGGTAATTTTGAAAGCAAAACAGTAAGCGCGATTAAGGCCGGACAATAAACCGATTGTCTCTCGATTCTCTCTGCTCCGCGCGACCGCGCGATCGCTGATGCTGATGTTTAATAATCAGTAATCACGAATATCCGCACGAGTTTCGGCAGAGTGGCAGTATTGTTTGAACAACGACACCTGTAATCGCGATCGGATTAACCTCGGTAATGTCGTGAAAATGAAAAAAGCAATCTCCCGCAATCGCCCGACGATGCCTACCGCTAATATCCGATTAGATTCGATGCCGCGCTATATTCCCATCTGCCACTCATACTGTGTATTTACGGTCGATTGTTCGCGGCGGTCTCAAAGTCCCGTCCGTTCGATAGCAATCTTCGGCGCTCGTTCCGCGTTAGCGAAAAGCTATAATCTACATGAAATTAAGTGAAATTGAGTTTCCTCTCCCCTCGTCGCAGGCTCTTCGAGATCGAGCTGCAGGGCGCGGACGAGATGGACGCCGCGAATTTGCAGGGCCTGATGCGCACGATGCTGAAGGAGGAGCAACGGGCCGCCGCGGAACGGCGCACGCCGAATAACGACGGCTACCCGAATCCCGAGGTGATCCCGCACTCGATCCTCGGCGTGCGAGACATGGGCCTAAGCCCGAATTACCGTCTGGACACCTTCGACGACGACAAGCGCGCGTCGCTCAACCCGCCAAAGCTGCCGAGCCTCGACGAGAAGCTGTACTACCTGAAGAGCGGCCGGCCCAAGGTCTACGTGAACGTGCGGGGACACAGCGGCTCCTTCCGCAAGGACACCGGCGCGGTCGTCCCGCCGTCCACGGCGACCACGAGCGAGGGCGCGGTGGGTTACCTCAGGGTCACGCGACCTTTCGAGAGGCAGACCGACTGGAAGACGCGGGACAAGAAGACACGACCGCCCAAGAAGTTCGATCGTCGCGTCGACGGTATCGTTCTGACGAGTAACAACGAGATCGGTAGGACGAGCGATCGGGCGACGTTCTACGGCGCGGACGAGCCGGCGTCGACCACGGAGAACACCATGGTCACGTCCAGCGAGCTACCCAAACAGATACCCGCGCCGCCCAGCAAGGTCTACGGACGCAGCCTGATGGCGCAGACCACCCCCGTGCAGAGGTACCCGCTTAGGAGGACAGACATCCTGCCGGGATACGGCTTCGTCGAAGAATAAAATCAAATATCTCTGTGAGAGCTAGAAAATTAACTTCCTCGAGAAGTAGGGATTGAAAATATTGAAATGCGATCCTGAAGACTTTCGATCGCATTTCATGCTTGTTTAAAAGTACAAAAAAAAAATTGATTCGACGACATTTCGAAACGAATATTAATCGCATATTAATCATTGACACTGATTTTGTATAATTCCTTTGTCAAATCATGAATTATCGTTTGTTACTTATCGAAAACATTTTATGGTTAATCATTGACCAGAATTTTTATCATATTTAATGATATTTTGTAAGCGTCACGAAATTTTGGACATCACGTTGAGGAGTTAGCTGTGATTGCATGAAAAATATTACTTTATCTTTAAGTAAATACTCTGTTTTCAGAATTTTCAGAATTCTGTATAATTAACAAAGTCACTTCTAGGTCTTCTCTAAAAGACTTTTAAAGGTTATTGATATTTAAAAAGAATTTTGACGATTAGACATGATATAAAAGATAGAATTCTGAAAAGTTATCGATACTATATGTCTTCATTGTACAGAAATTCAATTTTCCAATTTTTTTATTTCGGTTTTTAAGTCGGTATTTAATACGAGAAAAGCCAGACCTTAATTAATCATATCGAAATTCTGAAAATAGAATACTAATTTTGTAGAAGTTATTATTATGTCTCGGAGAAAATTTAACGTTTTACAACGTTAAATTTGACGTTCTAATATTAACCTTAATTTATGCCGGACATAACGATTCACGATAAAAATATATATTGTTATTTATACAGATTAATATATGCTTGTAATATATATATATAAATATAGTTAAACTAATCTAAAATTAAGAGAATAGTAATATATTAACTGCTTTAGTAATATCAATAAGCGCGCAAGCCAGTAAAATATTTTTATTACTCACATTCTTTGGCAAGTCGCTGTTTGTCTTTAAAAGACACGAACAAATAACGAAACTAATTTAAACTAATTTAATGCGACAAAGAAAATAATATTATATTAATGAAAGGGCTTACCTGCTCCGCTTTTAATGTGAGCTCAATGAAAATCTGCTGTAACTTCTCGTTCACGAAATTTATGCAAAATTGCTCGAATCCGTTCTTCTCAAAGATTTCGAAGCCGTATATGTCCAAAATTCCGATCTCATATCCGTCCGTGTCTGTCTCCATGGCTGAATTGACTTTCTGTAAAAATCGTCATTTACTCAATCACTAAGCGTTTTTTTAAATTATTCGATATAATTTTGGATTAAAAGATTACGTTGATTTAACTAAAGTTGATATTTCTAAATATATTTTTATGCCAAATAAGAGTAATTTGCCTCTTGCTTGAGAAAAAGTTAAAGAGATCAAATAATTATTTTCTATGGAAACACCGATTGATACTCGTCGTACGATCAACTTTTAATACGATACGAAATGTACGTACATTTTTTTTCTAACAAAAAAATTATATAATAATAGCGTAAAAAATGGGCAGTTTTTTCTACATAATTATAAAATTAATCGTTTTGGATAAACTTTGAAATTTTGAACGAGTGCTCTGCCACACCTTGACCAAATAGTCGAAAAGCCTAGCGTAGATGTCCTTTGCCAAAGCGTCCCTCGTATAAAGCGCCTGTTCCACATTCAATGTCACGTCCACGCTCTCGGATTGATTTCCCCATTTCGACTCGAATTCACGGGAAATCAACTTATGCGACAGCTGCTCTGCCGAGATTCCAAAGAGGTAGGCTGGAAACTCGAGAACTAAAAGTATATTCACACGATTAGAAAAAAAAACCGGAAAATGTAGATAATAACGTAGATAATAATACAGACACGCGCAGATATTAAAACTTATTTTATTATCGATCGATTGGTAGTGTTTATATACGATAAGATATACAGATAGATATGCGTTTCGTGCGACTTATTATATATAGACAAAGCTACACCGATAAGTTATATAATTAATCATTATTATATCATATTTTTATTTCTAAATGGAGAGCCGCTTACATTGTTTATCGGCAATCTGCGAGTAATTGCCGCTCTCGACAAATTGTATATTTCCCACGTGAAGAATTCCAGCTACCAGTCTGAATATATCCGTCATTTCTGCGTCTTTTATTCCCATAACTCTCAACGCTGTAGACATAAGACAATACATAATTATTAAATTAGCGAGAAGTCTATTAGTAATTAAGAAACACGATACGAGAAAATGTACTATAATAATTATGAAACATTATATACTATTATAGTTGTAATTGTGCACAAAAATGAATTAACACTGTCAGATACAACTTGATATATCGTACCTTTAAGGGTTTCCTGAAAGTCCCGCGCATCGTTTGTTCCGTCCACCTTATAATTACCACCGTAACTCAGATACTGATAATAACAGAGGTCCGTCAATCCATATTCCGCTATAAAATTTAAATCCTCTTTTATTATACCTCTAAACATTTCTAAACTATTCTACATTACTTTTCATTTGCCAACGATATTCTCTTAACTTTTTTATCTCTTAATCATTCACTTGAATCACTCACTTTTCATTTCCTCATGGGCACCCGTCGGCAGCTGATAAAATATATGAAAGTTCCGCTCGCCGGGATTGTGGCAAGTCACCCTTGATTTTTCCAAAAGAAAATTCGAAATTTTGCCACCGTTCGGCTGACCGCCCGGCCCGAATTGCATCTCAACGTATTTTCCCTGAAAATATAAAAAGACTTCTTTCGTTTTCTGTTCGAATAATAACTTTATTGATTATAGTATAATACAATATTAGCAAATCAGAATGCAAACTTGTATAAAACTATAGTATATCAATTCGAGTATAACTTGAAACGTACAAATCTACTGCTGTTATTGTTTCTCACTGTCTTCGCGTTGCCGAAAGCTTCCAAAAGCGGATTCGACTCCAAGATCACGTCTTTCACTTTCTGCACCTTCTTGCCGCCGCCGCTCACCCTCGCCACGTAGGACATTATGTACTTCGCCGTAACTGTTTTTCCAGCGCCCGATTCACCACTGTGCGGGAAAAATATCGAAACGTGACAAGGACATTTTTCGTTATAAATATATTAAATAAAAATTTCTAAAATATATTAGGTACACCATTTCGAAATCCTTTCCCATGTAAGATTATCTTAAATGCGATCGTGTACGTTTACCTAATAATGACGCAATGACTTTCGTTGTCGATCAGCATGTTCCTGTACATCTCGTCCGCCAGTCCGTAGATGTGCGGTGGGTTCTCGTACGGCGCCTAAAACAACACGAGACTTTCTTTCATGTTTTCTAACGAGAAAAATTATATTTAATAGTATCTTATTTATCCTTACCGCGCCTTGGTATATTTCGACTTCCTTCTCTCCGAAGTATGGCATCTGCTTGAAGGGATTAATCGATACCAGTACGGGTCCGATGCAAGTCTAATGACATTTTATAAGGAGCATTCATTTCACGAATTATTTATGATTAGATTAATTCAAGATTAATATTAAGTTATCTCGATACATTTTTCCGAAATTATGCACCGTACGCATGAAAAAGGATACAAATATGTAATCGTCCATATATCTCTTTCTGAGATTTTCGATGATGGCATCCTCGTTGATCTTCGGCAGGAGGACCATGTCGTCCACCCCGGAGATTTTGACATTTTGACTCTGCCAGTGGTACACCTGGAGGATAAAGAAATAAACTTGACTTTTGGTCGACGAAATAAAATTGACTTTTTAATCGAGAACACGCCTCGACTTCGTAATATTCGTCGCTGAATTTATTGAAAACATACGGACGCAGCGACACACGCGAAATCGGCGGACGTCCGCGCATTGTGAATCCAATTACAATTTCTGTGTCGCGACTATCAGAAGTGCTTATTCGCTCCGACATTTCACGGATCGCCGATTCATCGATCGCTTCCGCTCCTCTTTCAGAAGGGGAGGAAGAAAGGGGGGGGGGGAGCAAGGGATAGTTCAGTCCAGCGCTCTTACCATGCCCTTTTAACGCACTGGCTTATAATAATAGACGCTATACTTGGCCATTAACACATTATTTATATATAGCGATTTTTAAACAGACTTGATCAAAGTCGGACTCGGTCTACATTGCAAGGGACGCGTTCTAACGTTTTATCAAGCAAGTAATACTGGTTAGAGTACATTTATTTAGCTTATTGGGTCACCGTGACAAAAAAAAGTTGCCAATAAAATCACGAATGATGACATAAACTTTTGCTCCTTTTCTAATATACTAGAGAATTTTTCTAGCGCGGAAGATTGTAAAAGCTCCTTTCTCCTCTCTATTTCCTCTATATATTTATTTGAATAGATTAAGTATCTCTCGTATTTCTTTATACCCAATGACGGTTTGTACAATTGAGAAATCCATGCGCATTGAGTAAGAGTCGGTCGTGAAGAAGCCAATGTGAAAAAAAAAATGCCGTGAATAGGGAAGTCCGGCGTGTGAAACGGGCATTCTCGGTTGCACGCGGCGTAACATTGGAGAATGTGAGAGAAATCGTAGTCAGCGTATATGGATACTTCCGGTCGAGCGATTCTCTTTCAACGGATTCCATACAACCGAGTATATCGAGTAACTATATAGTGCAAGGATGTCGCGAGACCGGGCCTCTTTCGTGGTCGCTCTAGCGAGGCTTAACTGCATTTTAAACGATCGTTCGTTGTAATCCGTCGTCGGGGGTCGAAGCCAATTAACGGATTAAATTAAAGAATTCTAAGCGTATCGATTACGTTTCTGTATAGACTATACATTACGGATTATAATTATAATTACGTATATATTTCATTTGTTAGACCAGAATTATTAACTATCATTTTTAACTTTTAGAGATACGCAAATAAAATGTAATACGGGTGAGCAGTTTGTAAAACATTTTCCCCTCTCTCTATAGAAGGCCTGTCACTATCGATCGCGCCATATGCCGCGTCGTTAACATCTTGGTCCAATTAGTATTGGCGGAGCATCTCGCCCATATGGGACATGGCGAATGGCCTCGGAAGCGGGCCTCACAATCGGGAAAGTTAGAAAGAGAGAAAGAAGCGGGAGGAAAAGATGGGATTTCGTCAGGCCCCCGTAGAAAGCGGCGGGAAGTGGCGTTCGCGCTTAGCTGACAATGCCCAGCGAGATGAATGGTCACGCTCGCCAAGCTTACCGCTTCGCGTCGTCGCCACATTTCGACGGCAGACACAAGTTTCATTCGACAATGGGAGCGAGTGGCGATCTTGCCATCGGTCTAACTCGATCGCGGCAGGGGGGGGGGGGGGCCATTATAGGATCAAGCTAATTATGACCGATGGGGCTACTGACCGCGCGATCGATCGCATAACGTTCCCTCTTGTTGTGCCGCGCCGCGGTCCGCGCGTGCCGGACCAGAGCAGAGGCATGATTTCACGGCTTCCGCCGCAATGAAACTGTCTGTTCGTTCACCGCAGTTCCGCCGGCGCGGCGCGGTGGCGGTCAACAAGATATATCGCGTTGCTGCTGCTCTGGCCTCTGTCGCGGTCACCGACAGTCCTCTTCTGCAATATTTCGTTGGAAACTGCTGTGTCGAAACAAACTTCTCGTGGTATATAAATATATCGCTTATCTGTCGATTATCTGTGATAATCGGAAGACTAGCCTATCTTTTTTCCGTTTTAAAGAGGTGTTGAAATTTTATTTCCGACAAAATTCTTTTGAGAGACTTCAGAGAAATTTTACTTAAAAAGGCATCAGACATAGGATATACATATATATGTATACCTATTGTTTTAACTGAAATGTCATTTCTTTTAATCGATGTATCCTACTGTTGTTTATTGATTCGTAATAACATTTATTAATACCCGTCCGCGGCAAATCGTTCATTGTCAGCCAAATGATAACGTCTCCTATCTTCTGTTATTGATAAGCCAACAATAATCGAGTAATTGATTCGAACCGGATGTACAACAACACGTGTTATCAGTCATCTTACGATGTGGTATACCATTTTTATTGATTACGATGATAATATATACGATAGTATCCGATAATATACTTAAGTAATAAAATGTAGTTTTCCGTATTTTGAGGAGACGCGTCGAAGAAAGCTATCTCATCCGACGAAAAATTCTGAATAGCTTATGTAAAGAACAATGGACGCGCACAATGGAATGAAAAAGCCTAGTTGAGGTAATATTTTTCGCAATAATTTCTTCGCAGTGTTTTAAGATGCTTATTCGCATCGTATTATCAAAAATTAAAGATCCATCTAATCGTGATCTCACTATTCCGGCTTTCAACTTGTGATTGCAAGCCTGACATTAATTCGGCGTGCAGTTCAAATAGGTAGCTGAATATTAATTTAGAATTCACACAGAAATATTATTAGACACCAAGATCTAGCCTCGACCGTGAAAGGCGCTCTCAAATTTATTTGTGGTATTCACTTACGCGGCCTAGTTCAACTTATTATGGATTATAATTGGACTGAAAATTTTCCGGCCGATAACGAATCCGACACTGGACGCTACCGTTCACAAATCATTTGAACCTTGCATCATTTGAAAGTAACTCAGAAGTGCTTAGAAATAATCTCGTGACTCATGACAGGTGGAGACGTCCGCTGATAGAGAATGTTGCACTCAAAGAATATTCTCAGAAAGATTATCTCGTGGCGTTCGCTTTGTGAAAAAACGCGCGGGTATCGCCGACCCGCCGTCAATTCTCGAGAGACCGACTTGGACAATAAGAGACGGACACACGCCTCCCTTGGCCTTGTTATACCGCTCGCATCCTTCGGAACGATTAACAATGCCGCGATTATAAGCACGCGACGCAAGGAAGGACGTGTGCGTGCGTGCGTACGTTATCGTCCCGCGCTAGACTCATATTTGCACGTCGGCGATAAAACGCGCGTTGCCTAACCGTCTTCGGCGATAACGATCTCTCTCTCGCTTTGCCGCGAGAGAGCCGCCGCCGCCGCACGAAATTCCGAGCGATCGAGAATGGAGATTGAGCGAACGCGCGCGCGCCTCGCGTCACTCTGCACCGTCCGTCGCCTCTAATTGAATCGAGTTGAAATAATAGATTCAATTTATATGACGTGCGACCATGTCGCGATGCGTATCGTTATAATAAAGGGGGAAAAAAAATTCCCGTTAACGCCATATCTTAATAAAAAATCAATTTTTCCCTGATGGTGGCTCTTTGATAAATCGCCACCTTCGTCTCCCCACATCGCGCTTCTTTAAATAAATATTTATCGATCCCTGATGACGCGACGCGACGGAGGGGGAGCGCCACGAAAGTCGTAAATGCAAATCCTAACAGGATATTCCATTATATCGGTCGGCGTACGCAATGTGCACAACCGTAAAATTCCCATCGCATAATAACAGTTGTAAAAGTGTTCTCAGAAGGTACGGAGGTTACCGATACGCGTACCTTATCGGGGAGAGCTCCGAGATACGTCATTACACGCATCAGTGGCGATTCTTCCCTCTCTCCCTCCTCCTCTCTTTTTCTCTATTTCTCACTCTCTCTCTCTCTCTCTCTCTCTCTCTCTCTCTCTCTCTTTACACCGTTATGATCGCTCTGATTTCCAGGAGACAGTCCATTAGATAGCTGCAATTGGAGAGAATTTTGCCTCGTGAATGGCACTACCGGATGATGTCGCAGTCGCCATGAAAATTGGAAGAAATTGCAGCTGCAGTATCATTGCGAGCGTATCCGGATTCTTAGCTGTGTCACCACGGCAAATATCTACTCCAGTAAATAATGATAACGGGAAACTTTATCTGAATATTTATTAGACCATCGAATCCATTGCTACCGGTATACGCCAAGTATTACAAAATACAGATGAAACAATTTGTGAATATGTGAACAAATGTCTCTGTGAAAATGGGGGGACTCCCCTTGAAATCTGCGCCCTCAACAATCGCCAATGCAATTGTCGACGCGGCATTCAGCCCGAGATGCAGCACTTATACAGATGACAGCGTCCAATAAGCATGGCGACCGCGTGACGGCAATCGTCCGTCTTTAACCGTTCGGACCAAATAGAGATCGCCTACGAAAGCCCCGTCCGCGTCGCGAGATGTCTACCTCGCTCACGAAAGTGAGGGGGACGTGAGCGAGGAAGTGGCGGAGAAAAAGGCGCGAACTAGTTCAACGAACCTGTTTTAAAGTCTGTCCGTGGAAAAACGTGACTCACCGCGCGCGCGCGCGCGCGAGATGCAATGCCGCATAATCTTGTTTTTGTAAATTTATTAGGCATCAGCGGAGTATGTATGCATTTGCATCGGGAATTCCGATCGTCGACCGCTGGACATCCAGGCAGTTTTATCGAGACGGCGCGCGAAACCCGCTGACGTTAAACCGCGCGCACTCCGTGGAGATCGAAGATTCGTCCGGTCGAAAACATTAAAAGTCAATAGAAAACCGACAAGATTTTCGAATCGATTTTATCATTATTTGCGGAAGACGAATATAAATTCAGATTAATAAAAAAGAAATATGAAAATATTAAGATTATTAAAAAATTATATTTTGGATCTGCGGGAGGTGCAGAGATGCACCGGTAACTTTCCGGAAAAAAAATCCGGAGCTTTGATGATTAATGGATTTCCTGGAAATGCGATCACTCACCGATATACGTGTGTATCAAGTACGTCATCGACGTAACTATTTTCTCTCGAGGGCGATTAACGCGACAACAGTCCTTGCGCGCAAACACGACGGCAATCAATGTAAAATGGGATAATTATCGGTTTCCAATTAATTTCAAAGTCGCCTCTAATGTCCTCCCCGTTTCGCAAGTGACGAAACGTAACGCCGCCGCGCAGCCTGCGCGTTTCTGCAAAGATTTCGCTTTCGCTTTAATTAACGGGAACAATCAATCGTCGCCGCTTCAAGAAAGCGTTTCCTGCATCACGTTTGACGTTGAGGGCATTTTAGTGATCTTGCTGTCTTGAGCCACGAGAAAATGAATCACTTCCCGTTCATGGATCGCGAGACAAAGAAAGGCGGGACGCAAAGAGACGCATTCGCGACACGAAGATCACGCGAGAATCATGAATCCTATGAATACGAGCAATTTTATGGTCGCTCTTTATTCTTCACAAGTCTTCTTCACGATTTTAACTCTATATAATTCGACGTATTCTTGTCGCAAGTCCGTGCACTTTGTGCACTTGTAAATACCAAGACTCGTGCACAATCGTTAATCGTTAATCGATATAAAAAATTCTTCTTATAAAGATTTAATTTAATACCTGTATCTCGAAGGTAAGAATTTTTATGGGGATATATTTCTGACGTCATCCAACTACAAGACACTTCATTATTCACGATCCAAGAGTCAAAGCGGCACGATACAATCTGGGCTGAATTTAAAGTTTACACTGAGGTCAGACTGAATATGACGGAACATATATTTATATTCAAGTCTCGATAGGAACTCATTATTTCACAGCGCGATCCTGCACACAGGGATATCACACATTTCTTTAACATTCCTTTAACATTTCTCGTTTTAATCAAATTTATTTTCTATTCTTGTATCACGTTAAAACAGTTATATATATTTTTTGTATCTATACATTTATTACATCGCGTATAGCCTTTTATATAAATAATAAATGAATAAAGCACTTGAAATATCAAAATTATAATTTTCAATAATAATGCAATATTCTGATCGTTCATTTAACAAGAATAATGCGGTCTCCCTTCGAAACTCAACATTCCATTTATTCTCGATATTTCAGACTGACTTCAATAATTAATCGAAAACTTAAAAAACTAAAATTACCAGCACCGTTTCGCTCATTTAATTAAATATATCTTCAATTACCATTTCGTTGAAATTGAAAGGTCAGATCCAGTCGTCCAAGTCGCGTCCACCAGGTAGTTAGCTAGTATCACCAAGCGAGCCTTTTAAGTGCTCCGAATCATGTCGCTGACACAAATGATGCACGTGACACACCGAGGATGATCACCGATTCGCGATCGAGCAGCGCTCCGCGTTGTAAATGACAGGCGAAACGCCGGGCAACCGGAAAACGCACACGCACACACACACGCACGCGCGCGCGCGCACACACGTACATACACACACGCCCCGATGTCGACGGCTTCGTAGTCCGTCGCGGACTGAAGACCGAACCGACACACCACGGTGAGTCACGGGGCACCGGTATCTCGGGGACGCACGCCGCCTTTGTAAGAGGCGCGACGCGCCGCGCCGCGTGTCCGTCCGGTGCTCTCGGGGTATCTCCGGATTCCGCGCGCCACGCGTCTAAATCCTCCGCGTGTCGCGCGCGCGTATAATTTTAGACACGTTATTACGAGCCACGGCGGAGTTTCGTCGAGAATTTACCCCGCAGAGTCCGATCGACGCTCTCCGCGAGTATAAATGTCTTAATTATAGCGCCGGGGCGCGCGCGCGCGCACGACTAGCCGGCATCAATCTTCTCCGCTTTTCATCTCGCGCCGGAGCGCGCGGATCCAATTTGGCTTCCGAGCTATAATACGAGGAAACGCGCGCTACTGCACGTCGCGCGCGTCGGATTAAGTCACGTAGCGAGAGATCGTGAGATCTCTCTATTTACCGCGAAGTGAAGTAAACTCTCCGTCGCGCGTTTGCTCATTTCGTCATTTAAACCGTTAAATGCCGCGGCGCGTGCAAAGGAGGAGTGTAACGCGACGACCGAAAGGGGGAAATCGGCATACATCCCGGGACGTGAAAGTTGACTCGGCGCTACATTGATGTTTGTATACAAATGGTCGTGATAACGACCGCCAATGGCGTCGTTCCGGTATTAGGTCCTGGCAAAACATCAATAGCAGGTGGGTACACTCCTTTCACGGGCAAGGCGTGTAGCCTGCCTTATATGTATCCGCCCCGTATCTCGCCTTCTCTCTCCCGCGCGCGCGAGAGACTATTGCCAAGCTGCGTTTTAATCCAAGGCCGCCGTTAATTCACTTTCCACGGATGAACTCGTCCCAGTTTCGCGGATACGCGGATCTCCGCGGCGAGATTACGGCTCATCGTTGCGAGAGATTAATATCTTTACAGGTCCAGTTGTTTTAGCTAATGTCGAAAGCCAGATATATCGTTCGCGATCTTACGCTCGATCGCGAAAAACAAAGGTATTGATTTATTGAGCACGCGTTCTGGACACGAGCGAAAATCGGCGGCAGACCGCGACTCTTAAAAATCACGCCACGATGAATCATATGATTACATTACATACTCGTGTATCGCGGTCCCGATTCGTGATGCTATATATTGATGAAATGATATCTTCGCTTTTAAACTGCGCGCGTGACTAAGTAAGGCGTTGTTGCGGATTTTTCGTTATCATCTTCGCCGATTAGATTACTCCGCGTCGATATCTCTGTAAAATATTATATGTTATTCGTACATATTTTAATAAGCACACATATTCTCGAGCATTATTTATTGGCAATAAAGTAAATTAGTTCGTACGATCGTTTCAGTCAAGTTTAAATAATTAATTATAATTATAATTAGAAAGGCTGAGAAAGTTAATATTCAAGCAATCTAATTCACGTTTTATTTTAATCCGATAGGAGGAATCGGAGATTTAAATGCAAGAATTGCAATCGCTTGTTCGATCGCGAAAGGAAGCCACGAATCTTTGGATGGTATCCCATTAAAATATCTCGCTTCGCGCGTTTGCAATGAAATGTTCTGTTTATTCATGCATGCGATACAAAATTTCAAAGACTAACAGACCAGGAAAAAAAAACGCACCCCTCATACGACTATACAACTGTTCGCTACAATTTGCAAGCGTACAAAAAGTGTACATACGAATGGAGATTGTAGAAAGATTATCATCGTTATTTCGTTTTGATTAGCGCATAGCTCCATTCTCGTCGTCATGTCGGCCGTTTTTTTCTTTTTTTTTTTTAACTAACATTGCATTTACACCCATCATCCACCGTCACATTTGTACACAACGTATGTATTTAGCCCTCTGTTAAATTATTCCTGCGGTCGCGTCCGTACAAAGGTATTCAGTTTGGTGAAGTTTTTACTTACGGTAGCAGCTACAGCGAATAAATTACTCTCTTACCCGTTATAATTATCAAATAAATAATCTAACAAATTAATCCCGAGAACCTCAATAACCTCGACTATTTAAAAAGTAACGCAGTAGGCTAGATGTTGTACATTTACATGAGAAGATCCGCATATTTCGGCAGCGATATCGAAGTAATTACAGTAACAATTGACGTGTAGCCGTGTTCAGCATTAAGTATACCGATCACACCGATTTGCGCGCGCCAGAAGAGTGTTACGAATTTTTACGGCTCTTTAACGAGGAAACGAATTTGGGATTTTTTGCAGTCGTGTGCGACGAACGAGACGAGTTGATTGGTAAACGCGCGATGTACGCAATCTTAAGTCAAGAGAATTGCTGTCGCGTTTGCAGTTTCGCACGCGTGAAACATTACATTAAGATCAATTTGTAATAAGGACGAAACGCGGCTTGCAACAATGTGTCAACTGATGATACGAAAATCTTATCGATAATACGAATATCATAAAGAGAGATAACTTTGATTTTTTTTTCATATCTGCGCGCAACTACATCTCGCACGTTTTTCAAAATAACGTACAATGCAATAGAATTACGTATTCTCAAAAGAATCTCGGAGTATTTTCATGATTACTAAACAATTCAACGCAAAAGATCGTCTACAAGATCTATTAGCTATTCCGATTTGGAATTAATTAAGGTCTCGGCTGAGCGATTCCCCAAATTAAAGAGAGCTAAGTTGCTGTTATCAATTATAACAGCCTGATACCAAATTCGTCGCCGATAATCACGTTATCAACTAGGTCTAAATTATTGAAAACGTATATGTTACCTCTCTACAGCTCTTGGACTCGTCCTGCATACTGCCTGCCTTCAGTCGTTGCGCAAAGATCATATAATCCGCTAACGTTTAACAATTTTAACATTACAGTTGAACCTTCCTCCTTCCTCCTATATACAGCTGCTGTTATCGTCTATAATAAACTTAATTTTATCAGGAAAGTTCTGAAAAGTGTATCGCGCCAGAGCTGCTGTGCCACGTTCCGACGAGTTTTGAACTCACGCAGTATTTATTCCGTTCTATCCCTTGTGTCAAACAATTGTCCATCCTTGCTCCTCAAACTTGTCGCATTTTTAGACCGAGCGTCTACTCGAAAGTTTTACTCTCCGAAGCGCGGTTCTTATTACAACGATCGAGACTCGCAAGCAGAAATCCCAGTCTCGTTATTTTACGCTTCTCGGAGAATGTCTGGAATTGAAAAGTAGCTCTGTCAAGCACAAACTCTTGAATAACGTAATTCATTAGTTATTCAGTTGTATGAATTTTGCTGTCAGGAGAGTAGCCCTTGGAGAGTACAACAAATTGAACGTGGCATCGCAAGAGATTTTTTATTTGTTTACTTATCTGATGTCCATCGGATTTCACTCTCAAAGATTGCTCGTAGAACGGGATCATCCAGATTTGGATTAAAAAGTAGCATATCAATTTTCCGCATTTCAATCCGAACCTTCGTCCATGTGTTTTTCCGTTTTAAATTTCCTCCTCTTCCTTTTTACACGGATTTGCCCAACGAGCGGGTATCCTTAATTAACAACTAGAATTACATATTGCAATTGACATCCGTTTATTTATACAGTTAGCTTGTCGCTCGCGGCGCTCTCCTGCTCCAAAACGAACAAAGCTTCGTCGTCAAAAACGAAACGTGACCTTCTTTGCACGGATAAATCTTCGCTTACATTATCCAATTTAAGCGAATTAAATTTTGATTCGAACTAAACTCGTCGGCCCCCGTCGGCTTATTAGTGAGCCGCGGAAGTACAGCGAGGCTCCACGTGCCGAAACGCGCGCGTTTTCCCTGATAACGCTAATAATAGACTAGGAAGGAGGTTTTGTTTATCGCTCACCTGGGAAAACCCGAAATCTCACGGACCTCCGTTACTCATTTATTAACAGCTGTATGTACGTCGCGTCTCGCACAGTTACCACTCTAATTTCCTAGAGCCGTCTGTACTACGGTCGACGACACTTTCCCTTTTCATCAAACGTCCGGAAAGCACCTTCGAACTGACAAATCTGTCTTTCTCGAGAATTTCCGCGAATCCACGCGTCAACGACTCCGAGGGACACGAACAGGTCTCGCGGACAGGAGAGCGCCGCCGTGCACCGACGCGAAGATCGGCGTGAGATTCATTAATTTACTTTTAGCTTCTGTTTCACCTTTTTCCTCGCGCCACCCCATTTTCGTTCAGCTTAGGGCGGATTTCGAGCGAATCGAATGACACGAAAGGGTGTAAGACAGCGTAGGCACTTTTAGGAAAAATGGCTGACAGTGAGGCTGCGTGTCCATTCGAGAGTTAAGAAGACATTCTTCTCGAGAACAATGTCAACTGTACAATTTTATAATTATGAGGAGGAGAGAGAGAGAGAGAGAGAGAGAGAGAGAGAGAGAGAGAGAAAGACAGTTGTCGGACAATTTTCTTCGGGAATTTTTGCTGTCGACAGGAAAATTTTGTCGTTTTTGACAGTAAAACACTGGAGCGGACATTCAGTTTAAGGTGTAAGACGAATCAGGACCTGCTCGCATATATAAATATGCAAGTTGTATTTCTATATATACATATAATTACGTAGAACTTTGGGAAATCGCTTATTACAATTTTGCAGATAAAAGTTCTTTTTAAAACTTATCTATACAATTTTTTATCTTTAAGTCAGAAATAATCAAATAATGCCAATGCGAGCCGATGTTGGTGCGTATAATAATTTTTTTATTGTTACAATATCCAGCCACACATAAATTGCGCACCGCACTTTTTGTCGGTCTTAAGACACAGTTCTTTAAATGAAGCTGGAATTCACTGTAACGAATTAAATTGACAAGCAATTTTTATCTTTAAAATTGGAAATTAATGCATACGTGCTGTATAATTATACAATCTGCTTTAATTTCGTTCCATTGCTTTTTGATTTATTTGTATCCGCGTAAGACGCAAGGATTAAAAGGTAAAGGATTTTCCCAAAATTCCTTATAATTTCCAAATTTCCTTATAATTTCATTTAAACGCGATACTCGAAGGCAGATCCTGACAAATCTCACTTTCATAGGAAAAAGACCTTTAGATGTTATATCAAGAATTTGCACGCTGCGATGAAGGATGTTATACTCTCGCGACAGAATAAGATGACGAGACAAAGTGATTACGCACATCAAGCTCACCTATGCTCACGCACATCCGATTAAGAACGCAAGGGAATCGACAGCGGATCGGCGGGGATCGTCAATTTTCAACGCTGCCACGCAATATCCTCCGCTATTTTCCGTACTAGAGCTGCACGCATATAGCCTACAATTATCTACGAAACGATTGCTTTTCGTTGACGATTTAAAATAATCTAGTCTCTATAAGTAGCGTCGCCTCGTCAGTGATTTGTATATATATATATATATTATATATAATATATTACACATTCGCCTGTGTGTATGTGTGTGTGTATGTGTGTAAGTGTTGGGTATGTACGCTCTTTCTTTCGTCTCTTCACAATGTCAAAATATCTTTACTTTGTCTATTTATACCGGCGCACGTATGTTAGCGCTGTGTTTTTGCGCGTTTCTTCGAGTTGTCCTTCGGGGGACACACACGGGGAAAGTTTCGCGAAAATCCGGAGAGAAAGAGCACTCCTGTCCTCGTTCTTTTCAAAGTAACACGATAGGCCATTCGATAACCAACATCGCACTATGTATGTATACATAACGTCCGTTCGCGAGTCCGGAAGGTATCCCACTTGCATCGAATAAAATCGAGCTCTTATAGCCAAAATTTGTAATCTTTTTTTTTTTTTTTTTTCAAATAACGATATGAATAAAATATTGCAATACAGTCAACGCGAGATATGCCTATAATTTTATGCAATATATTTATTATAACGAATTTTTAAGATCAAGCCAATGCCATTTTAAGATGAATAGCTCGCTAAAAATGACGAAAAGATTTTTTCTTTAGTCGTTGCGACCGTATACAGAAATCTTAAAAATCTTAAAAATTTATTATTCGAGTGTATTCAATAAATCAATTATTAATGTTATTCATTAAACAAGGTGTACATTGCAATATATTCTCTCAAAAGAAAATTATTGTATAATTCGCGGAACTTAATAATCAACTGCAAGATAAATGTGTTTTTATAGATCCACATCCTGCTTGAAGTAACAAACGAATCAGCAGCGACTGGCATCAGCGAGTCAGCTAATGAGAACTTGAGGAAACTCGATAAAATAAATACGCGTGATCGTAAAACAAATAAACGTATTACGAATAAAATAAAACGTATGAAAACATAATTTTATACATACATCCTGCTCACATCCCGATTAAAAAACAACCTTTGTACAGTTTCTTCTTTTATATAGAATTCTGATTTCCTGTCGGATCGAATTGAATTAGAAACGCGTGCCTCGCGCGTAAGCCGCGCGGAGATTCTCCGACCTCGGCTGATCCCTTCAACGCGATGTTTCTCGTCTCTCCTCTTCCTTCCGGCCTTCCTTTCTTTTGCTTCCGGTAACACTCGGTCTTCTCGGTCCGAAGCACTCACGCTCGTGCGACCAAGTTGCAACGCGACGGCGCGCAACGGGGGGAGGGCGGAGGGGGAGAGGGAGAAGGGAGGTAGGGTCGAGAGCGAAATAGGAGGCGCATGTTCTTTTCTCCGCGACTTGTGGGCCGTAAATTCTCTCAGTCACAAGCCCCGTCCCTGGCAACTTGGCACTGAAGGGAGAGCGAGCTACGCGATGACGTAGGACGACCTCGGCTCGGTCATCTTGTCGCATCAGAATAGGCCGAGCTTGGTCCGCAGGAACTCCTTGATCGGAATGTAATATTGACTCCTCAAGGCCACCATCTCCGGCATCTTGCGCAGGTCGTTGAACAGCGTCGTGTCCGTCTCGAACACCAGCACGATCACGATGAACACCACCGTGATCACCAGCACGATCACCGACATAAAGATCCTGACCCCCACGTGCAGCTTGCCGCTGGCCGCGCGTCGGACGCCCTGATGATGATGCTGATGATGGTGATGATGATGCTGCTGCTGGAGGCAGAGCTTGGAATTCTGCAGCTTCTGCATCTTCGGCACCGGCGTGACCGAGCGGCTGTGCGGCTTGCCGGACGCGTCCAACAGCTGGCTCTCCGACGAGGAGTGGTCGAAGGAGTCCCTGAAGTAGTAATCATTCGCCTCGCCCTCGTACTGACCGACTGAAACAGAAAGGACGCGATCGATGCTATTGGATTGTGGGCTGTGCGTTAGCGGGCGACTCGTATAAGGGACGAAGACGTTACATGTGTGGAAGGGTTTTCTGACGATCCCACTCCGAGGTTTGCGAATGTTCGTGGAGCTGGCGGAGGGTTTTTTTTATGACGTCGTAAAGTCAGTTGAAACCATTCTTTTATTTGCAACAACTCACTTCCGTCTGCTTATTCGAGCCAATGTTTCCTTTGCTTTTAACTCTCTAATAAAGAACGAAATGTATAGACGTAAAAATCACGGATAAAGTAGCAGCGTTAAACTAATTCAATTTACACGGATGATAAGGAAATGTGTGTATCTATTATTAGGCGCTTCATTACATCGCAACGCGAAATCGGATTCAAAAGAGGATAAGAATAAACTGGACGCTCTTAAATATCTTCTTGAACGAGTAAATTTGCTAAATAAATCGTATTATCGAAACGGAATAATTTCTGTCTAGAAATTATTATTAAAATATTATTTGCATGATTCATTATTGCAATCTACTCACCTGATCGTCTACTTATTCGAGATACTCGTAATATGTTATTATTTTTATAAATGTATAATATAAAATAAAATGTTAGAAAGTGTTATGTTAGAAGAATTTGGAAAGAGATTGTAAAAGAATTTCACGTCTAATCTCATTCAAATTGCAATTTCGTCGAAAAAAAAATAACTTAAAAGGATTTCGTAATGCTGGCTCATTCGAGTGAGAGTTGATCATCGACCTCCACGAATCGACCCTACAGAGGAGATCGGCAGATAACCGCTTCACCGTGAATTTACGTATATTACGCGTGCACTCCCGTAATCATCGTACATCTCTCGTAATTGCGTTCGTTATTTTACCAATTTGACCATCGTACTCGGGACTTGGCTGGGATATGACGGGTATCTTTCGACGACTCCTAAATACTCGGGACGTCCGAAATGCTGTCGTCCTATCCGACAACCAACTTGTCAAGGTACGATGGCCGTAATATCCCGTGAAATGTCTCGCGGATCCCACCGGGGGTGGGGGGGGGGCAACGTGTGTACGGATGTGTGTCGGTTTGTATACGTTAACAGGCGCAAGCCCATGCAGACGGCAATAGTCGAAGCGTAACACAAAGGAAAGGCGCAAGGTAACAAAGCAGAGTCCAACTCCAACGACAACGACGTACACGCACAGGAGGGTAGGCACGGGGGAGAGGCGAGGATATAAATACGCATGACAGAGGAAAAGAGAGAAAGAGAGAGACACCAGAGGGTGACGAGGGGGCGAGAGGCAGGTCGGGGAAGGAGAGAAGGAGGAAACGAAGGAGGTCTTTGACGTTTCACCGTCCTGGGGGTCTTCGCGCTTACCTGCTGCCTCCCGTCGTCCCGAGCGATCGAATCCATTCGACAGTCCCGGCGGCCCCGCGGCCAGATTCGCGCAACCGTTGGCGGTCTTCGTCGGCGTCGGTCCGCGGCCTACCCCGCCGTCGATCTCGCTTACCTCTACCCGCGTTTTACCCGCGTCGCGCGCGGAATGCACGCTTCTGAGAGGGATGCGTCCGTTGGCGCTCGCCGGCGCCTTCGAGCTCTTGATTATCAGGGCGGTCGACCGCACCACCGTCGGGTCGCATCGCTCGTTAATCAGGGCGTTAATGCGCTGCCGCACGACGTGCTCGACGTCGTGGCCCGCCAGCTCCTCCGAGCCTATCACTATTTTCTGACTGTACAACGGTTGCGGTCGGTTCAGCGTGCTCTTGGGAAATTTCAGTTTGGCTTTCGCACGGTTTGTGGTGATGGTGTTGGAGGTGGTGATGGTGGTAGTGGTGGTGGTGATGGTAGTAGTAGACGTGTGGGTGGCACTCGCATGCGTATCATTTTCGTCTACGGCTAAAAGAACAGAAAGAAAAGGGGAAAACAAATCAACCGAAGGTTCTAAAAAGCCAAAGAAGCGGCGGCGGCGGCGGCGGCGGCGGCGGCGGCGATAGCGATAGCGACGGTTTCGTAAAAAAATAAAAAAATAAAAAAAAACGAGAGCGATGGTTTTTCTCGGTTGCGTGTCGCTTACGCAACGAACCACCATCGATGCACGAACGACGTTCGACTTCGAGATTTAGCGGGCAATGCGAGCGGGCGGAGAGATTCAATTTACTTTTTATTCGCAGTTTTTGCCTTTATCTTTATAGAATAGAACAATGAATCAATATATTAATCTTTCAATTTTCTTTCTTAGGTATAATCTATATGTATATGAGAGTACTTAATTTCAGATCGATATAGAGGAAGTTTCGAAAGATTACCTCGCTTTCTGAAAAAGAGTAGAATTCTGCACGTTAAACGCTTCGTCATGCACTAGTTTCTATCAAAGACTAACAATATTTTTCTTACTATAGTACCTTAACAACTATGTACTGATTTGATCGTTGACGTCTGACTAAGAATACATTTCTCCTTCGTGGAATTTAAATGCAAGCTTCAAAGCTCTTGACAGGTTAATATTTTGCTGCTTTCGTTGTCGTGTACACATACGTCGCGGCGATGGACTCGAAATGGGCCGGGAGGCTGAACGAGATTAGGGTATCTAACGTTTTGAAACGTTGAGCGGGAAAGAGAGAGAGAGAGAGAGAGAGAAGAGAGAGAGAGAGAATGAAAGAGAGAGAGAGAAGAAAGAGAAAGAGAGAAAGAGAAGAGGGAGAGAAAGAGAGAAAGGGCGGCCGTTATTACGGCCGTTGACTAACCGTTGTTTCTCCTGGCGTGAATTTCTTGGTCCTCGGATACAGTCTCCAGAAGGGGCAAGGTATTGTCTGGACAGTAGGGCGAGCTGAGGGGAACCCCCGCGCCGCCCTCCAGCATCCCGGTGCCATCCAGGCCCGCGCTGTGACAGCTACGTGGTAAGCTGGAATAGCCTGAAATGTAAGGGAAAGAAAGAGCTCGTACCACAGTTCATGCATCAAAAAAAGAGATCACATCTCAATTTACCTTATGGTACCTCTCAATTTTACGAAAAATCACGGCCACTGCGTGCGAAAATTGCGGTAATTAATCCCCGCGGCGAAATCCTGAATCTGCCTGAATATTTCTACCATTCTACATATATAGAGAAATGCGTGTTCCGCTGACACGCGGGCCACCAAGAGAAAAACGACACCGTATGCAAACTACGTGGAGGTAGAAACAGAGAAAAATAAGAGAATTACTCACGTATTTCGACGAGATCCTGGCTCGGCGTGCTCGGGGTCGCCGGTACGCTGCTGGCCTTTCTCCTCAAGCACGTCGTCTGGCAGCGTTGTATCGGCGGCTCCTCCTTCCGGAGTGGTCCTGCCTCCTCCAGAACTTCCCTCTCCGTTCTTCCGGTGTATTTAAATTTGTATCCCCACGAGAAGATGGAGCCGCCACTCACCACCGGCGCGTCCGACGCCCTCGGCAAGCTGCGCGCATAATCGAGCCGATTAAAAATTACTCGTGACGCTCTATATTATAGATATTGTATATACGCGATCGATAACCAACAATTATATAAATTATTCGCAGCGTTATTATTATGTCGCGGTGGATGGAAAACGCTTTTGCACGCGTCCCTTCTATAAGCTCGTTCGAAAGAAACACCGTCAGGAGCGATTATAATCCTCGTTCGGATCGTCGGATCACGAACTTCGTTCACTGCGGCGAAAAGTATCGAGAATAGGCCCTCTCCGGAATCCAACTAAGCAGAGGATTTATGCCCGCATAAATTTGCCGACCAGAATGAATTCAGGAGCGTGCGCTGGTCCCGCGATCGAAATCGTCGCGTTCCCCCCGCTATGCCGTTGCGCGCTGTGGCCGACGCTAATTCGCCGAATTTCGGTGAACCGCAGGAATTCGATTCCCCCGTGGGTAATATCTCTACCTAGTCGATGAGATCGTCTCCTCTAACGTGCTTTTCGCGTTTAATTCCAGACGCGGCGGTTTCAACAGTTACGAGAACGTTTTTCAGTCCGTCCGCTGTAAACTGTTACATGCAGTTCCTCAGTATAACGCATCGTCAACGCAATTCTCCTTAGAAAAGGTCGGCAATTAGAGCAACGAAACGGCACGCAGATTGAGTTTCTGTCGCGCGGTTCTAGCCTCGTGGCAGAGGCATCAGCGCGTCGCAACTGTACTTTAATTATCTGGATGACGGCCAAATTACCGCGACAGGACAACGGCCGTTCATCGCGATTTCAACTTGTTTACCATGTCTAACGTGCGCTCCGACAGACATTCCGACAGATATATCTTCATCCGCGAGTAAATATGACGCGAGATTGCGTGCATTCCTCCAGTAAATCCTTTGATTCCGTATCGTAATCGCGAAGTCTTTCAAATCTTCATTTCGATGAAACTTCACGTAGAGAGGAAGAATACATTAGACGACTCAACAATCTCGTTTTCGCAACAAAAAAAAAACTTCAAGAAGCGGAATTGGCTTTTTTACTGTGAGAAATATGCGAGTTTAATTGACTTAAGCGCGTTTCAACAAATTCACGGGCAGTGTCGCGAACGACGGACCTTGAATCCACAGATCGCGCTTCTGCTGACGATACACGTACGTTCGAAAATTGTCCCGCATTGTGCTTTTACGCGACTGCAAAATTGATTGAAACGCGCGAGATGGCGAGGGGACGATATTTGACGAACGACGAAGTATTCGAGGCAACTCCGTTCCAAGCTCGACAATTACCGTATGGAGAGACGTATACCCGTTTTTAGTGCGAATTCACTCAACTGACACTCGTAAAACTGCGATACTCCGCTATACATATACATGTACAGATATACCGCGTATACGAATTGAGACGATACGTTCGTTGCCAAAACAACTTTCTACATCAAGCACAAGCGTTCGTTCCGGGCAAATCATCCATCAATGCACGCGGTAGAAGTATTAAATTTGGCCGCGCGATGGTAAACGATAAACCGTGCATGTAAGTGCCAGCGATATTTCCGCGGGATCGGATGCATCTTTTACAGCAGCGCTGGAGCCACTTTTACGGCACTCTCCGTTCAATTACTTATCTCGGAAAATTTCGGAAAAGCCGCACGTACGGCGTGTCCAAAATGCGAAAATGCGCCGGAAGACACTTTGCACGAGAACTTCGCTCAAGCCTCAACCTAATATATACGGAAAGCTAACGAATCTGCAACTGACTGGTCGTTACTTCGCGAGGAAGAAGATAACAGTTCCGTCAAATAATCGCATAAAGAAGCCCCGGAAGAATCGGAGATACACGTAATGTAAAATATAAAAGACACCGTTCCTTTATTTAAAATGCAAGCATCCTTACGTGCGATTTGAACCGTTAATGTACAGGAACTTGCGTATAGCGGAATATGGGGTGAGAACACGTGAATGGATGTGAAAGCTTCTTCGTGAGCAGCGGAACCGCCATGCGATGTAAAACACGGTAAATCTCATACATGCTTTTAGGGGAAACACGAGTAAAAGGGGACGGGTACTCACGTAAAAAACAGCATCTGCTCGATGGCGCACCTCCACACGTGACGACAGTTCGTTGCCGTGGGACATTTGAACCCGACCAGATGCTTTTTCTGAAAATCGCAAATACGAAGGCGCTCTCGAGAAATATTCTATCCAGACGTTTATATACGTATTATGTGAGCAAATATTCGCGTTTTCGCAAAAGAAAGCCGACAAAGGGCTTATCCTCTTATAGGGAGGAAGAGCATAAGGGCTTATGCTCTTCGGGGGAGCAAGATACATAAGCGAAAATAAAAATAAATGAATGAAAAAAAAACGAATGGATTCATTTTAACACTGTAACTTGTCCCAATTCGATATCTCTCTAACGACTACGATGACAAACACTTGTTTGAGAATATTGCAATGTCACGTAGCTTTCGTACGATCACCAAATAGAATAAAGCGCGTATGAATATTATCGATTCGGAGAACACGATCCGCGCCACGTTTCGTGGCCGGAATTTCTAATTTGAAAATGAGACGAGTATCCCGTGAAAATGTGCAGTTTCAAAGTGACGAAGACAGCAGTTTTATTTCGTACTTTTATGAACAAGGAGAAATAGTGCGAAGGCGAGGGGGTTCGTGAGATAAGAAAGATTTATTATTCGCGCAGGGCGACGTAAGTCACGAGATATGCATCTTCTAAAAGCATCTGTATTATTTCATATTTTCATAACCGGATCGTATAAACACGCACGGAAATCATCTGAGATCGTTCGATTTCGTTTTTTTTCTGATTATTCGACATTATGTGTGTGTTTTTTTGTGTATTTATCTCGTAATAATTAAGAACTCAGACTAAATGACTAAAAAATTCAGCGATTAAAATCGCTCTCCAACTCACCTTCGTCCTCACGTCCTGCGCGAGTCCAGCAGAGAGAAATAACAAGATTACTTAACTTACAATCACGTAGTCTGACGTCACATGCACATACCGCACGCAGACGCCGCACGCGAGCGAGTCATGCACGAACGAGAAAGAGAGCACGCATTTTCACGTGCGACTATCAGTAACGTAGTGATAGTGTACAGCGTTCTTAATTAGAAATTGTTCGAGATAAAACGAATTTCTTTTCAAGGGCTTGAAGAAACTTGCGCGTAACACGTACGAGAAATGTCGCGGTTAAGCAATTCCCCGACGAGAGGATCTTTTAACGCGACAAAAAACCTTGTTACCGTGGCGCGTTTAACATTCCGAACTGAACGAGCGCTACAAATTGCACGAACTTTTACAGCCGAAACAACGGCCCGGCTTTAAAAGGCTTCGTTTAATTTCATGCAACGCATCGCACGATACATCCAGGCTAATAAGATCTGGTGACTTAATCAGACGTTATTCCCACGTTTGTATTCCCCGCATAATGTGTTTAATGCACGCATAATTTCAGAAATTAAATCGCGATATTACGACACACTTTTACATAACGCGTTGTTATTCGCATGAGAACTTATCTGGAAAATTTTAATTATCGTTAGACGTGTGGAATATTGCGCCGCGTCTACCGCGTCGTTCCCTCGTCCGACGTGAATCGCGGTGTGTCAGTCAGCAACGAACGCGCTTACCTCGTTTATCGTCACATGCACGATAAACATCTTTCCTTCGAAATTGATCTTCTGAACTTCCGGCCAGCGGAAATGCTGTATCTTCCGTGAGTCCTGGAACGTCAGGATCCCGCAGTGGTTAATGCCCAGATGAAGCTGCGTGCCCTTGTCGGGGTCCTGTAAAACGTAACGCGAATGTATTTATCAGAAAATAGAATCGCAACGTGACCGGAAACGCAACGCGGCGCCCGCGTGGATAATGCGAGGGAGAATTTAAGAAATTTCCATTTCGTTAATGTACTTCGCTCCATTTCGTAGAATTATCCTGAAACCCATCCGCATTTTCATCCCTTTTTATTCACATCGGAAATTGTCGTGAAATTTTTATCAATGGGAAAACAGACTTGTAAGACGCGGAAAACAGTTTAAATGTATACAATTACTGTCCCAGATAGAACTAATTACGGGGAAAATTTTTTACTACAATCCTCCGTAATTGTTATATTTATTTGTAATCGTTATTCGCTCTCTGGTCCATTTCTTTTCTACGACGAGTCTCTTTTCTCTCCACGATTTATCCAATGCGTCATTATTGTCGACCATTTCCGACACCGTGCATCGCGACGGCCAATGAGACAAACGCGTTCAGCGCGGGCGTATGAAACAGATACTTTACGGAGACAGAGCGTGGTACCCTTTCTCGAGTGGCTAAGTGAGAACAACGTCTCGTAGTCGACGATGTCGCGCCATAAAAGTGGCATTTTCCCTTAAACGGAAGACGGTCGCAACAGTGGATCGCGATTATTTCTTCAGCGAAAATGTCGCCGTGCAGCCAGGAAGCGAAAAACCAATAAACGACAGGTGCTACCACGTCTCGTCGCGCGCCCTCGCCTCTCGCGACGAGGGTGCAATGAATGCATCGCGACGAATAATAGCGGGGGTTGTTTTTCCTCTCGCGAGAAAGAGAGAGAGAGAGAGAGAAAGCGACACGAAATGCGAGATTGTTAGTTCGCCGAGAGTCGCTTATGTATCGCAGTTTATTTGTCAGCAAGAGTGTCCCAACGAAGATAACGACGGCGGGTTTCAATGGGCGCATCGATCGACCGAGACATTAATTAAACAATGGCGTGCGTTGCCGCTAGCGGTGACTGAAAGTGTGTCGGAGTTAATATTAAAAAGCATTCTATCACTTGGATTATCGCTTGGGAAATAACAGATCGTTTCGTCACTTCGAGATAGGGGAGGTTGTGAGAAAGTTGTTACATCATGCGCATAAGTAAAAATAACGCGGGGCGTTCATATATATTAATATATATAATACACGGTGGGTTGGCCTATTCCCGACTTCTCTAATTCTGAAAAGTAACAATTCGCTTCTCAATTCGCGAGAAGTTGAGAGGCTAACTGTGCGCGAGTTGGTATATCATCACGGTAACAATCGCGGGTAAAGATGTCTCGAACGAATCCTCAGCCAGTTGTCGACGGGGGTATAATAGATGCGCTCTCGAGGAAATCCCGCGGAAGGCCTGCGCCTCGTTTGAATATCAATGAACGCTGCTTCATATTCTGCGATATTGGAGGAGACGTCAATGGCAGCTAGAATCGGTTATCTTCGAAAACGTTTCCTCTATACCTATACTGCACCTCTCGCGAAATCTCGCGTCCGATGAAAAATGAAGTCCGCGCGAATTGGAATTATTGAAAATTAAATGCGAGCTAAACGGTGGACGAGTGCAGGAACGGAAAATCTAGTACCTCACACGATGTAACGTGTACCGTGCGTTTAGTTTACATTAATAATATTTATGTTGAAATTTGCAATACTGTCGTATAACTCACGGACGTAACGGATGATAACGATAATAATACTCGGAACTCTCAGTTACCACATAATGGAAATGTGTAATTAGATCCAGGTATATATACGTTTGAACGTTCCAAACGGAACGTTCCAAAGCGGCGGAATATCACGAGATGTATCGTGGCGCGGAGTGGAAAAAGGCTGCCGATTTATGAAACGGGCGCGCACACAAAGCGCGATCGTTCTCTCTCTCGCGAGGAAGATAAACCGGTTATGAACTCTTATCGACACGCAGGCGGAGATATACGACTTTTATCCGCGATACCACGGCTACAGTCGGCCGTGCTCGAATTTATTAATCCACGTTCATCGATCTTCAAAACTCGCGACGAAGCCTCGTTATTCTTGCGCCCCCGGATTGCGATCCGCATTTTTGATAAGATAAAACAAATACGAGCAGCATTCTCGCTGCATCCCGATGAAACAATGATGAACGAGAGCTTCGCTTTTTGATCTCGGAACAATCGAGAGCGATTTGTGATAGTAATCAAAGTAATTGCAAAATAATTAAAAATCTCCTTGTTGTGAGCAAAGAGGATCACCGGAAGCGCGTAACTGTATCTCGTTACACCAACAAATCGACTTTGAACTATCGAGCCGAGTGAATTGTTATAGACGTCACTCGTAAAGAATCGCGTAAAGAGCAGTCCGTTCATCGGTGCGGAGTTTCGTCAGAGGACAACACTCGCTAACGGATTGAAACATATTGCCGGAAATAAAGAAGGGCGTCATTAGCATCACGAAAGGAAACGACCATGAGAGTCGGTCACGCTATCAACCCGTTAACAACGTTCAAGTTTGCTCCTCGACAATGTTGTCGACCACATTGTTGTCGAACACGACTACTTCGGCTGTTCATTGAGACAACGGTTCGACCCGTTTCCTTTCCGGCATCTTTCCTCGATAAAAATTCAAACATCAAGTTTCCAGGTTTCTAGTAGTGATTATATATAGTACCGTTGGTGCTCGCAAAACGGACAAAAGTTGAAACGTATATGGAAATGGAAGCGAGTCGAAAGGCAAAATTTCAGCGAACTGAAAGCCTTTTGACGTTTATTCACTCGCGGTTACGAACGGACCGCGTGCAAGGATAACGAAAATTACCTTGACCGGATGTGGATCGACCGCGTACGTGTCCAATTGCGAGGCTATCCTAAGGAAGTAGTTTTCCGCCTGTTCCGGGGTGAATCCCTTCAACTGAGCCTGATGCAGCTCCATCGCCTTCTCCTCGATCGTCGACGTCTGCGTCTTCAGCAATTTGTGTTCGGAGATATAGTTTCCCTCGTGGATCTCGGGATCGTAATCCCCCAGTTCACCTGAGAATTCCGGAAAAGAAAGGCCCGTCTCGTAAGTATCAATTGTGCGTTTCTTCTCATTCTTTACTTCACATATAAATATTGCACACGCCAGAGTTTCTTTACAGAATTTCTTCGTTCGTTTTCTTTAGTGTTCTTCAGCGTTGTTTCAATTTCTCACAACGTTTTAGGATGCTTTGTAGTATCGTTGAATTAAAAATCAACTTAATAATATGTCATATTAAACAAACAAAACAACGACAGACTCGTCAATGTAAAAGACAATCAAGAAATAAAACGGGCCAAACTAACGAGCATATAAAACGAAGATGATAACGTTTATTAATAACGTAACATAATCAAATATGCGGATTTGATTATTAGTATGTTACAGTATTAATAAACGCTCTCATCTTCGTTTTATATGCTCGTTAATTTGACCCATTTTTCTTGATATGTCATTATTATTTCAGTAAAAGTTAACTTTAAGTTACCATCGCGTTTCTAAAAACAACCGACCGACAATAATCAGCGTGCAGTTTACTATAGCAAAATTTAAAAATTAAAAAATAGCATTATTAGGCGCCAATATCTACCTTCGGCCGAATTTGGCGTTTTCCTTTATTTATTCATTTTATTTATATCGATAATATGATTGTAAATCGTAGATTTCAAAAATTGAAAAATACATTTGTATCTAGTTCAAGAAAAAGGATAATTATCGAGTACGCTCCGAGATCGCACGGTAGATATAGGTGGAAAAACGACCGGCGCTCATCGCGACTATTACTCAAATTGCAACAGGCCGCGGACACGACTGGATATAAATCGTCGGCGATTGAGAAACGAGCGCTGCTTGAACTGGATGATGTCAAAGACAAATGGCAGGGGCAAGCAAAACAAATCTTCTCGAAATATCGAGACTAATCCGCGGCAGTTTCTGTACATTCTCCGATTGACGACGAGAGAGTCTACGTAAAGAGAGCCATTTATTTTTACGCGAAGAACGCACGAGGAATCTGCATGAAAAACGGCCTACTTTAGCAAATAGAGGAAATGCATGCCGATCGCGTTTCCGCTACGAAGGAACGCAAGAAGCGGCTATCGCCATCAAGGTCAGCAAAAAGATTTCCAGCGCGGAGAGCGAATAGTTTTTGCAGTTATACTCGCGGTTCTCGCTGAAAAGGTGAACGGTCTAAGAATTGATGGTCGACGACCGAAGTTTTAATACAAAGAGTCACGATCGGCTTACGATGGAAAGTGGCGGGTCATTGATTGCCCTCCGTTACGTACTTTTCGATAACGAGATCGCAAGACAAACAAAAGGTTGAGCCTCGTACTTATATAAGAGGACACCGACTCCGGAAGGTTACTTTCCAGACTAACTTCGATCACGGTCTGAAATTCCGTAAATAGATAGGTTACATTTCTCGTTAAAGCACGGAGGAACTAAATTTAACAACGTGTATACGAATGCCGTATTAAAGATGCCATCGATTACAATTTTATTAGGATTGAATACGCGACTCGACACACTATTCAATTTAGCAGCAAAATTGATTAATCTGTATTTGAACGGCGTCCATTATTCAATTGTTCACTAAGTAATAGGCTTAATCGTATTTCACGAGTGACACTGACAGATTCGAGATATTAACTGAAAATTTGCTTTTTCTTTTTTTAAATAAACTTCAGAGAAAACAAACGGAAAGCCACACGCTCGTACATTTTACGGAAACGGTGTTGTACGATCGATGGGCGACGATCAACGGGAGGGGGTGGGTGATACACGATGACCGTGATAGGTCACTGGAAAGGAAATCCTGAATTATGGGATTCCCGAAGTCGAGATAAAGGAATAAATTGACCGTACGGACGCGTGAAACGGAGTGAAGCTGAAACTACGGGTACTGTGGCTGCAAACGTCATGCACTGTGTGCTCATTGTTCACAAATCCAATATTAAATATGAAATCATACTAATCATTATAATAATACCGTATAATCGTTTATTATCCGCCAGCTTATAATTATTTAATTCGGCTACTTTTCGAGAAAGAAATTAAAATTTTCGTTAAATGAACATAATTTCTTTATAAATATTTTTGATTAATAAAAAGTAAGATTTAAATGCATGGAAAATAATTTTAAATTAAAAAAAAATGATAGATACACGATAGAAATAAATTCAACGATCTCTCTTTTTCATTTACGGAAGACGGTAAGCATCCTGGCGTAAAGCTTAAGACACGGGCGGCCAGATGAGTCTTTGCGCTTCGTTGCGCTTTGCCTTTGTCAAGAGTTGAGGCACAATTGTGATGTAAAATTTCGAAGATGGAAAATCAACGAAGGATGCCGAGCTGGACAAACTTACTTTGCACGATGCAAGCGACTAGAAGCGCTGCCTCGCCGGGGCTGCAACACAAACGTCCGTAAAGCAGGTCCCTTTTGAGCTGCTGGTACACTTGATACCTGGTGATCTCCTCCTTTAGCCGCAGAGGATCGGGCGGGTAGAATTTCACGCGAAAGCACAGCAAAATCTCGTGCATGTCTGGAACATAGTGAAAGGTCGGATGTGTTTCAGCGAACTAGCATCTTTCGCTCACGACCCTGGTGTGTACTTTTAGCGGGAGACGCTCGCGCGATCTGACAGCCGATAAATTTCTCGATATATCTAATATCACTCGCGCTTAATCCGAAATGTATATCTTGTATAATCTCGGTCGTGCAATTAAATTCGTTGAATTTTAACACGAGCATGCAAAATATTGCATATTCATCCCTTCCACACAAGCTCGTCATAAATACACGAATGTGTACAAATTACAGTATATATAAAAACATTAACAGCATAAGTATTTAATATGACTATAAGTTAACAGAATAAATATCGCTATTGTCGTATCTACACGTGTTTTTTTGTAGCTTCCTTGCAAAATTCCCGCGCTCACAAGAGCCTCGTTACATCTCCCTCGTTACATAATCATTGTATATTTATTACATAATGACGCGATCGGTTTTAATGTTATTAAATATAATTGCGCGATGTAAATTTTGAGATAATTCCCCGCCGACAGCATTCTTAATAATTCTTAATAACCAGTCCCGTGTCAGAGCGATGTGTATATAATATATATCGATCTTCTCTCTCTCTCTCTCTCTCTCTCTCTCTCTCTTTCTCTCTTCTTGGAACGGCAATCGATACACGCGATACCAAAGGAAATGGCATTTGCTGGTATTCCACGCGTATAAAAACACTTCAACGGAGACAAAAACCGGAGCGGACGGGCGGTGGCGGTGTTAGCCGTCTAATGGTTTTCGCATGTGGAAATGCGACATTTATAAGTTCTCATTTCGTATCATGGATTCGTGATTGTCCTGTCACGTATATACCCCGCGGAAGAACGTTTCGAGCGTGTACACACCCCCGCGGCGGTCTCGGCGGATATTTATTTTATACAAATGAGAGGAACACACAGCTGGCGCAAATATACACTTACGAACGTATCGCAAAAAAAAAAACGGGAGGGCTCTACACTCGGCGATAACATAACGTTGCCGCCTCCGCAAATGCGAGGTCGTGATCCCATTCGATACGGTATATCATTACGGCTCGTTGCCTTCGACAGACACAAGACACTCGCGAGCTGTCTCTATGCGTCGACCTTCCGCAAAGCATACGAATATCAAGTACATCGGATTACCATATAATGTTTAATCAGTTTCGACTTTGCACGTCGCGCGCGCTTTATATAAATTTACAAGTGCGTTTATACGATGCAAATGTTAATCATACGTTATAATACTATCAGTTCTGCGAGCATTAAGATCAACAGGTACGATCAAAGCGGCAAAGACGCTCAATCGCGATCCAGAAATATCTTATTGTTAGTCCGAAGCCAGCCCTTCGAGTTTATTTAATTTCAGCGCAAAGGAAAAACTTCGGTCGCTCCTTCGGCGCTCCTTCGGGCGCGAGAGCATATATTTTTCTAATTCCCACCGTGCGACATTCAATCCTCCTTGGCTCGGATTGCGCGATCGGCGGAATTTTCCAGGAGAAAATCCGGGAGGACTCTTCCCAGGAGGGGGAAAAAAACCTATCCTAACGCTTTCGGACAGGTCTACCGCCGAAGTCCGTTCAAGTTTACGAGAATAGGCCAGCGGGTCGCGACTGCTTGAAACTTTCATGCTACATCGACCGACGTAATCGGGGCGCGGGAGGGAAAAGTCGTCGGGCCTCGACGACGATCGACCCTCGCCTCGGTCACAGCTGTTCCGGTGATACCTGCGTTCCCTCCACGCGCGACGTCATTATAAGCAGGCCGATCGACTGTAACGCCTTCGCGACACACAGTGCAGGTATAGTGTTTCCGCGGTAGAACGGGAACCCCGGGCATAATAAGACGTTTGCCCGACGCCGATTTGTGTGTTTCGGATTACAGGCTACATCCGTTGCTTGTCGTTAATTGCCTCGCGTTACGCGACGTTACCGGCGTTACGAGCGCGGCTGTTGTAATTTGAGCGCGCCTTCGCGGGAGAATGCACGGTATGCACCTCCTCGAAAACAAAATCGAATGAACAGAGAAACAGTTTTTTCAAAACTTCCTTGTCAAAAGATGACATATATTGCACACACATAATGCACATTTTAAAATTTACGCTGAAAATCGTTAATCGTGGGACAACGTAGTATTTCGACGAATTTTACTGTGCAGTAGACAATAAATTTGTTGTAGTATATATTTAAAAAAGTAGTGAAAATCACATAAAATTCGTCGAAATACTATGCTGTCCTACGATTAATATGATTTTCAGGATAAACTTTAAAGTAAAATTCTCTCCGTGTGGTAATTCAATTTTACTTAGAAATCCGCATCGTACGTTCACAAATCAAAGATAACGTTTGTTAAATTGCAAATGATACCAACCTTTCACCTGCTTGATCGCCGTTTTCGCTAGGTCCAGCCAATGCTGCAAAATAAAAAAATATTCGAATATATAACATATATGTAACATGAACAAGCTGTATAGATACGTAAGGTGATAACGCGTCACGTGCGACTACTAAAATTCTTAATATTTATTTATTGCCGCTAGTTTATATCAGCTGTAGCTCAACAAGTACCTATTCTAATATTTAAGTATCATATTTATATTCGTAATATAAATTTATGATACTTCGAACGGTATATCTCGTTCTCCGTCCGCCTTTTCTCCGAGATAGCGCGTGTCGGATATAGCGAAGGCTACCCAATTCGCGTAACTACCCCGCGGAAAAATGAGAAACAGAAATGCGAGACATAAATGCTCGCCGTAAAATTTTCGTCGTAAGAGTCTGTAATGATACTATCGTATAACAAGCTATACGCTCGCTCGTACATACGTATGACGGGATATTTGCCGTTGGTTGGAAATTATACGCCGACGAGGTCGCGCATCTGTTCTGCGTTCTAATGCCGTTTCAACGAGACCGATGAAGATATTAAAGTGTGACCATCACGTTGGGGCTGTGCTTTAACGCAAATGCGTAAACTGTACGCGGTGCTACACCGTACCGGCGAATTAGTCTGCTTCCGCGAAAGATATAGTCGTGCGACCGCGTCACTATCGTCGACCATGTCACGTGTTTCCACATTAGTGGAGATTTACCGCGATGAGTTTTAGGAATCTATAATACATCGGATCAAGGATCAGTTGCACCGAGGGAGAGCAATTTCCAGATCGCTCCAAACCGCTCGGTGGATCCACTCGAGAGAGGATAAAGCGAATAGCTCTACAGAGTACACCGTATATCTCTTTAAGTCCCCTCGTTACAATGGCCACCTTTAAAAAACGACCAGATAGGTCTCGAGGCTGCAGACGCCGCTCAGGGTAGTAACAATCGATATGACGTACGATATACAATTTATCATCCTCGGGGGATTTGTAGGTAACGCGTATCTCTCTTATCCGCGGGCGGGTTCATTGCCGCGCTTATCGAGTACAAGTGCAAACTCTAAAAACTGTCGCACTGCGCAAAGTGCGCGACGAAAGATCGTTTGCATTTTCTATTTCAAAAAAGATATTCCCGCTCCCGCACGGCACGAATTGCGGAATTGCGGAGCCGAGAGATAGAGAGAATAGCGCGAGCGGAGCGCCTGAGGATAGAGTGCGTTAAATTTTAAGGTAGACGACGATGGAACGTTTGCGGATGTCCGGACGGACAATATTGATTTCACCGGGCCTTAACGGGAAGACCAGAACTCGGCGGGATGCTGTTTTATACCGGGATCGCGAGGCCGTATGTCTTCTGCTATAGAAGGAAAAAAAGAGCGAGGAACAAAAATAATTCCGCTAAAATTATGCAGGGCTTCGCGCACGTTCCCCCGGGTTTTATTTCGTGTATTTTAACGACTATACAGTTTCGCGAAACGATAATTTCTCATGGAAGAAAATTGGAAAATATCACTTTAAATACGATAGAATGCAAAATTACTATCCCGTAAGAGATAATTTTAATCCCTCGGATCTGTGTTAGAATTAATACGATTTTCATTCTGAATTAAATCTTCCGCGACCGAAATTAGGATTGATGCGCTTTTTCCAGCGCGCTCGTCCCATTTGGATTTAAGTAAAAGTGCACGTTTCGTTTAAAGTAAACTAGTTCTTTAGAAACGAAAAAGCAAGCGAACGTGAAAAAATTCTCAAGCTTTGCTTAATTGAATTACGACTTAATGATATACTCACTGTTTTTGTATAAATATCGACTTTTGTTAAAAATAATGACTGTAGAATGTACAACGTGTGTATAACCTTTATGCGAAATATCAAATCTATCATGCTTTTTTTGCTCAATTTCGATCGTTAATAATTTCAACGTGAAAATGTGTATCGCTATACGATAGGTGTAATCGCGAAAAAAATGTGGTATGTATACGTTCATTTAAATACACATTTACAGCCTGTTTGTAGGTCTTCGTGACGATCGAACGTTTATAAGGTAAATTAGATTTGTACCCTCTGGCCCTGGAATCGCGGCGATCGATGCGTTGAAACGCACCGCTGTACGATATAAATATTATTTCGAGATCGATAACAAATCTTTTTTTCTTCCTTTTATCCCGACGAAGTGAAATTTGTCGCGGCAATTACTACTATACGGCGGAGAGATAATCGACGACGGTTGCGTCATTTTCACGATTAAATCCAACTAACGTGTCGTCTCGGAAATAAAAATTTAACCGCGTAAGTTTTTAATTTGGAATATTACACGGGTGTGGAGAGGAGCGGAATAAATGATTAACCCGTTAACGCGTGTTCGTGAGCGAGGTACAACGTGGTGCACCACGGTGAATCGTTGGTATTTCAAGGCACGCCTATTTTTAAGTCCTCCGGAATTACACCGATGACCTAAGAATAACGATTACGATGGAGCGTATATATACAATCGCGCGCACGCCATGCCGTTCCAGGTGTTAGTAAAGCGAATTTAATTGCGTGACAGAGATCTTTCCGTCTTCCGCAAACGCGTCGACCGTCACTCGCTGGGGGTAACACCACTTAATAAAGAGAAAAACAAGCGATAATTATATACTTTGTGTAGCGAAAAGTACACGTTCGACCTTGACTTTGGTACGCGCAAAATATCCCGAGCCGAGATAAGATATCGCAAGAAATCTGAAGTCCTGCAGGGAGCCGCGTTTCCTCAAAAATTCATCGTTTAATAAACATTACACTTACCCTTTCCCTTTCTTTATCGACGTAGCGAAGCCCGAAGTAATCCATCTCCAAAATGTTGAGCTGCTTGCACACATATTCGAGAATATATCGTCCTTTCTCTTGTGGCTGCAACAGAGAAAAAAAAACCGCCATCAGACGCAATTAGGTCGCGAATGTTTACCTCGTTTTCGCTGCTTTCTTTTTCACATATGAAAAAGGAAAACGCTAGGGACCAACAAAAGGAATGGCGTATTGCTAGCGGAGGTGGCCTTACACTTAAAGAAACTTGTATACCTAATACTTTAGTAGTCTTCTCTCTTTTCTCTCTCTCTCTCTCTCTTTCTCCCCCTTCATATAAATAACGATTTCCAATATCAATATTGGAACGGCAAAATTATGTAACCGAGAGATATCATATAATTTTAACATATCGCGCAGGAAACGCAAGAGGTGTGAATAAATTTTTTTCACAAGCGACTTCCCGTAATTCTGAAACGGAAATTTTCCATAAGATAAAAAAAAGCCGTTTCATCTCATGGTTTTCTAATCGTTATGCGAATCAACGTTACTTCTCTCCATCGCAATTCCTGCACGGAGGAAAACAACGTGGCGCGTACGGCGCGTGAAACACTGCGAGTCCGATAAAAGACAGCCGAGTTCCGGCTGCATGGAAATCTCCCGTTTTCGTATCCGAGTATCTGAAACGCTACATGCGTTTCATATCCGCGCGAGCATGCACGACTCTTACGTGCTAAAGTTATATACATATATGTATGTACATTCGAAGTGCATCACGCATGCACGCACCGCGTGAACAATACTAATTTCGAGCGCCGTTCTTTATCGCAGTCCACGACAAATAAGTAATGTCTTTTCCGTACTATGATAAATAAAACACCTTGCAGTTGCTACACAATGCTATACGAAAGTGCGAGCTATGAATCAGCGATCTCAACGCCTTTGCGACATACTGCCACTTTCCTATCTCGCGGAAGCGGCGGGATATAGAATACACGTGCTCTAACGCGACTTTCGCAGCCAAGTCACACGGAATGCTTTCCGGGATCGTAAACCATCAATTTTAAATCGTTATCTTCACTTTTAACGATCTAATCTCTTTCGAACATATCAATTCCTTGTAAATCCCACATTTTGTTTTTCGTAATATTCATAAATCCGATATAGATGTTACTCCGAAAAACTGATTAAAAACCCCAAAACTTTTTAGTGAAGGATCGTTAATGCCAGTACTTTTCGTTGACGTATTGAAACAGAAAAATACGACTAGAACAAAACAACTTTGAAAATATGATGTGTAAATAACTTGAAGCGTTAATACGATGGCACGGTTGATATGTCGCAAGAAAAATATAAGCCGGTATGGTTTTCGACACGTGTTGTGTATGTAGATTACGTAAAAAAAAATAAAAAAAAAAAAATAAAAAAAAACGACTCAATCGTGATCTCTCGCAATAAAAACTGCGATCGGACGAACGAAATCGCTGCAATTATTAAGCATAATAGCCCCGTAATCAGGAGATAAATATTATCCGATGCGAGGTCACGGACGAAAGAAAAACCAACTACGGAGAATAAAATGTTAGTGTTTCGTCTTTACGTAAGCTATATGCAAGATTTGAGATGTAAGCATCATTTGCGTAATTTATACTTTATAGGAAGCATCGTGTTCTGTTTCGAAAGAGAAACCCACACACACACTGTTATAACAGACTTATTGAGATTACCGTGTACGATTAACGTCAAAGTAATTGAAATTTATTTCGAATAACTCTTGGAATGCATGTTTTTTTTATATTTAATAAGAGAAATTTGTGTTCCAGTTGTACCTAGAATACAAATTCTCATACCGGACACGCGATGCATTCGGAGAACCACTGAGAGCAAATGTCTCGATCATTCTGCCATTATGACCAAGCACAAAGTTATTATTAACGTCGTTAACACGTGCAGTTATTAGCATTAGATAAAAACATATGTTTCTTACAATTTATTTTTTGCAGTTTATTTTCTCACAGTTGTCCGATTTATCCATTGGAATTCCGAATGACGACGCCGCAATGTATACAGAGCGACCGCGCATGCGGCATGATTGAACGGCGAATCCGCGGCATCCCGGGCACTCTATATTTTTGCAAATGCAAATTTCTCTTCGCGAGCTTCGCTGTTGAATGGACTATCCATCCTCCCCGTACGAGGCGCGGCGCCGAAATGTCACGTCCCGAAATAACTCTCGTATCGCGAGAATCAAATTGAATATTTCACGGGTATAACATTCACGACGGCTTGCGGCGGACTACTACCGGCCCGTTACTACGCCCGTTACTACAAGTCATAAATAAAATACGTCCAAAGTACGAGAACGAGGGGCTGCCACACGGGAAGTTTTTCATGAAGACGAAGACGCCGCGGCCGCCGCCGCGCGGTCGTTTGCGCGCCTGCAGTCATCCTCGCTCCCGGACAGGTCGAGTGTGTTTTTTAACAGTCCTCACCGTATGTGTCAAGTGTCAAGGGCCACGTGCATGTCCGAAAAGTGCGCGAGGTTCTCTCCGTCTGAAGCTCTCTTACACACAAGAGCTTCCGACGTTTCGCGGAACTACTGAGAATGTACGTACAACGGACGGATGTGTTAGCATTATTGTATATTAATAGGAGCGTAATCTCTCTCTCTCTCTCTCTCTCTCTCTCTCTCTCTTTCTCTCGCGCCGGCAGTCCCTTGCGAGTTATTTACTCACTCAAGATTGACGGCGACGCGTACAACATGCTGCCGCGCGCGATGCGGCAGTACCTCGGCAAAGCTGTATAAGTCGGTAATGCTTGTACACTCGGCTTGAATCCGGAATGATGATACGAAATAAGTACTGTAATCACTATAGAGATTACCGGAAGAATTACGCTACAATAAGCGACAAATTTCGAGCGTAAAATACAGAAACTATATATACGATAAATTTGACGAGATATTGTGAGATATAAAAAAAATATTTCTACAAAGCAATAAGAGTTACGTTAAAATATTATTTAATAAAATTATTTTTCAATCGCTATTTTCAAAAATACAAAAGCGGTTTTTCATTAAAAGTTTGGTATTTTTAAAATTTTATTACGTAAGTCATTCTCTTTTATTTGCTTAAAAAGTTGGATAATGAAGAAACTATTTGCAGCCACGATTTCACAGAAAAGAGGCAAATTGAAATTTGAACGTTATATATTTTTCGCGTGGGTTCATTGACGGGAAGCAGGAACGAAAGGTGGCAGAGATGCCCCGAGCTAAAAGTTGAACATTAACATAACTAAAAGTTGGCATTATCATGATTAAAGTGTTTGTCAGTCAGATGTACAAAGTTAGCATTTTTCTAAGCAGAGCCCACGTCTTATTGTTAATGGCTTTGAAATATAAATCGCTAGCGTAAGTAGAATCGGTCTTTCTAATAACCTCGCGCATGCAGTAGTTCAAGATCAAATGAGTCAGCCATCAGATTTCAGCACGGCACGGACCTCATGAGATCTCGAGTGACTTCTAACCTTTATTTTTATCAATTCTTATACGCAGTCATACTGGTACAACAATGTCAAGGAGGTAGATAAGCGCGAGTACAGTTCAATTCCGTAATATTCAATTCCGGTCACGGCATTAAGTTATATCAATTAAGTCTCTCGAGGTAAATGCGAGGCGCGCTCTTGACGTTGAAGCACTTCGCATTGCGAAGCGATGAGAAAGGATCTCTCAACCTCGTTATCTAGATATTAACTGATTTACGGCGAAGCAATATGGGTAGTTAAACGATAAATTAAAGCTATATGAATAATAAATAAGCGCGAAACATAATTAATACGGAATACGGGCCGCGTGAATGTGCGCATACAAATGAAGTATATAGATCTAATTTAATTAAGGAGGATTTGCATACATTGGCCGGAAATATATACAAACGGTGTCAAGGAACGAGATAATCGATATCAAGGAGTGCCCAAGCACTTACTGTTTCCAGGTTATTTATTTAATTATATTACGATATGTATATATCGGTGAAATTTAATGTATTTATGAAAACGCTGCCGCGACGGAGCGGGGACTGTCGACCTTGTTGACCTTGCATCCCCGGAGATCGCCGAGCTCGTACAAAAAAAAATTTCGCAGGAAACTTTTATCGATCCTCATGGAAATCGTCGTTTAGCTCGTCCCGTAAAAATGGAAGGAGCACGATAAATAAAAGTCAATATACGTACATACGTAATAAATAAGCGTTTTCTTGAGCACGCTCGAGGCGCAACGAAGTAAAGTTCAAGTTTCAATGCGCAATTTCTGCTGCACGAGGAGCGTACCTTAAGCTTTGGTCGTGAGAGAGCGGGAGGCATACTTTAAATTCTTCGCAAAGCTAATCCGAGCTATACGTAAACTTTCCGCGAGCTTAACTTTATAGTTCGTGTGTCTATCGCATAAATACGGCAAAAGAGTGAACGATGAGCGTAATGAATTATAGATGTACATGTCGAAAGCTGTTATTCTCGTTCTCGCTGCATAATTAAGTTTGTAGCGTTACTGTGAAAATTTCGGCTCTCAGTATATTTCGCTTATTTAATTAAAAATTTGCTTCTCGGTTGCTCGCCGTTAATCAGATCGGGTATCCCTTAAATTAATTTTCGCTTTCTTTCAATTTAATTACCTCTTCTTGTTTGAGTACCGTTCAATGTGTAAAGGTCTACTTTTTATTGCATTAAGAGAAACAGTAAACCTGTAAAAGCCTTTACATTATAGTTATACGAGTTTCTAATAAAGTACAAAGTCGATCAACAATTGTGCGACATCATTGCCGGGGAATTTGCATTTATCGGTAATAATTTAAGTGTCTCCGCCACGTCGACAGGGAGTAGTAAGAGGTATAGGAGAACGGCTATCATTGATTCTAGCAGCCTAGTGACCCTGTACCTCCAGACACGGCGGCTCTCTTATAGACATTGTTGTTTGCGAAAGGAGATCTGTATATGAACTTCGTACTTCGCGAGTGTCCCAATCCCGACCGCGAGGGATCGACTATTGCGGAACCATCCTAACTTCGAGATGCCGAAATAAAATTGACGAATTGCACGGAATAAACAGGATTATTGCGCTGCGTATGAAGAAACGTTTATTCCACGAATCAAATTTGATTCTACGAATCGAATCTGATTATATAACGTTGCGCAAAAGCGAGGATACGTATACAGTGTCTCGTCGTGACGGTGTAAAATTAAAAACAATAAATTACCTCGAATGGAATCTCATATCCTGTTATACGCTATTGTTGCCGCTATAATAAAGTATCAGCGTATAGTTTTAATTTTCTGAGACGGAATTTCGCGCAAAAGTAGCATATATTGTAGATAAGACTCGAGATCGTTTGTGACGTGGATCTCGCGAAGCTGCACTTCTAAATAAGTCCGAAATATGGAGCTTTCCCAAAATTGTCCCGCTAATCTACGAACTTTCATCTCGGCGCGGCAGCTCCGCGAGACAATTCCCCGCCCTTATTTACGATCCATGCCGACATTTAATTTGGCACGGACCGCATTGTTGCCGTTTGAAGAAGGTTAAGGATTATTATCGAGCTTTATTTCGAGGGCGAGATTGAACGCGACGAGGCGGGCGTGCATAATGTCGACGGAGGCTTTTTAAGGCTATACTTTTAGGCGTGAAATGACGTCGTCCGCCGTAATTTACGGCTATCAGCGCGAGCACCGTGCCAAATGGACCGCGCTAATACAGCGAGAACAAATAATATAATGGCCTAGAACTCACCCGCAAATCGGATTATATATATAGGGGTATATACATCTTCCGTCGAATGTGCCGCAAAGAAGTCACGATAAAGGGTGAGTTTCAGCTCTCTGAAAAATTGCAAGTTCATCGCCATCTTTCGATTAAACCTATATTCGGTATCGGTCAGCGTAGCGACTTTACCTTGAGATATTTCGTTACACTCGTAAACAATGGAAATGAGAGATAAATATGCGAGATTAAAAAAAAAGGACGAAAAAAGAAAAGAAATGTATCACGCGACAGAAACTTAATCAAACATTTTCAGCTTTATTTTTGGCAAGCTGCAACTATCGCATAACGTTATAATGGGTACATGGGAGATCATGCGCTTCTCGTTGAATTTATTGTTGCAGATATTTCCATTTTTGGATCAAATTCTACATAAAACATAGAGAAATTTTATTCTTGTAAAAGATCAATTTTCGTAAAAAAAAAAAAAAAAAATGATCGTATAGAAATGCTCTCTTCACGATCATATCAATCAATTTCTGTACGGATACTCTTCGCAAAGAGAGTGCGAATATTCGAATTATTTCTCGTTCTGGCCGTTGATAAAACCTTGACAAACGAATCAGTGGAAATGTGTAATGTTTAAAAATACTACAGCGGCAGCGGCTTTGCGCCTAAAACAATGGCTGTGTGTCAATAGTCAACAAAAACCCCCGATTTTATTGGCTTTTAATGCGCGCAATAGCCAACCCTCTCTCTGTCCAATCGCGCGTCCGTTCGAAGCTTAAATCCGAACCGATGGCTCTCCCATCCCCTTTTACCGTTTTGTTTCGATTTGGCCGCCTGCCAATTATCCCGTCCCGTAATGTCCACGATGTGACGTACCGTTGAAACACGCATCCCCTGTTTTCCGCACCCGCAAAGAGCGCGCGGCACCGCCGCGCGCCTAATGAAGAGAAACGAGCCGATCGACATCGCCCGACCGACTCGCGCGCGCGACTCTATTTCCGAATATCCCGGGATGACTCGCGATAATCCCCGGGTGAGTCCCAGAAGAGAATATTCATGCGAACGCGGAGGGATGAAGGGGGGAGGGCAGATCTGTATCTCTGGCTTTCGAGACTTGCCTATAGGGATTTCGATGAAATTCGATGCGCGGTAACTCTGCGGTTTATAATTAGAAGGAGGAGGAGGACGAGGAGGAGGCTGGAGGAGGAGAGGTAATAAATGTTACAATGTACAAATAGCGGCGCGAAATGTTGGGAATGATATTAATCTATCGGAGAATATTCCGTAACTACTTGCATAACCGCAGACCGCGAAGACTTACTTAAACTCAGTGATTGTTCGTGAGACACGTATAATGTTATACGGTAGATCGATAGAATTATCAGATTTCAAAGCTCCGTCTATCGCGCACGAAAACAGGGCGAAAATTTACGAATTTAGTTAATAAAAATGTGTTGAAAATCGAATTAAAGGACTTTTACGTACGTCATCTTGCCTCGCGCGCGGAACGTCGAGCTATTAGGGTGGACTCCGCAGCATCGAGAGCATTTTTGACAGGGTATAGACCGTGTACACAGATGCTTTTCTGGAATCGATCCAAGCAGTGGGTGCCGTCGCTGCGACTGAACGTCAAAGGGATCCATCGGACGCGATACGGAGTCACGGTTTCGACCCCTCCCCCTCCCCCCCGTCCCCGCGTCCAGCGGTACTCAATCCCAATCACGAACGGGAGTATCGCGATGAGAATGACACGTGGAGCGGATGCGGAGCGGAAAAAAAATCGGACGACATCTCGACGTGAATGTTATCAATAATGGGAAAAGGATTAAGTTTCAATAAATGTGTGTGTCAGTGATTATAGGACGTAAAAACAACATGAATACGTTTAAACGACCATAAAAAGCAGACAAATGGAGGTGCAGAGATAATGCAAGTCATCATGACAAAATTCGCATGAGATATTCGTGCGTGAACATAATTTAATAAAAATGATATTTCGCGTCTTATTTTTTCTTTCGCGTATCGTAAATCTCCGAGATTTCTACGAGATTTCGTCATGTCGCGTCGAACGATGCGGTAATCGTCGTGATATCATCATCTCAGAAAAGAAGGAATACGCGTATCATATTTTCCCTTCTCTTTCCTTCTGCTCTTTTTTTTCTTTCACATAAAAGTGTGAAAAAAAAGGAATACGATACATTCAAAGCATGCTCTTAATGCCGGCTTTAATAATTAGTAACGGCCATTAATTCAATGCTACAGCACGACGAAATATAAAGCGATACTATCGATTATATAATAATCTGAATTCATCAATATTTCATTAATGTGCCATCCGTCATGCCGAAAACCTTGTCGTTTTGTGGACACGAGAGAGAAAAAAATTGCTTCATTCAATTTATCACTAAATAAACTTAATATAAGAAAGAGTAGTATATTTGCAGGAATAATTTTGTCGAAAGAAACTACTTATAGCAAATTGCGTATTTATTGAATCTATGTCATGTATTTGAAAGCATGTCCTATTTTATACATATTATTTTTTAATAACATTCTCCTCAGTTTGAATTTCTCTTCGAAGAAATATTGAAGGAGCGCTCTTTTTTGCGTTATGAGGAATTGAAAAAGAAAGCTTTCTTATGAAACTCGAGAAAGTCAAATGAAAACTACATTTAACTAATTGTGTAGAATTTCAATGAAAAATTTAATTATGCAAAAATATACGGCGCTAAAGATTCGAACATCTCTTCTCTCGAGAGAAGAGATGTTCGCTAGGAAAGCTCCGTATTGAGGAATCTGTAATTGAGAAAGAATACGCGAGAAGTGGGACAGTTTGTATAGAATTAACAAACAGTCTGTCGAAATCTTCGACAATTGCAATCGCACGGGCGAAATATCGCGCACGAAATTGCTTTAGCATCTTTTCACAACGTCCTTGTTTCGGCGAGTGTCATCCTGCAGGTATTTATCGTTGAAAGGGCAAAAAGTCGGAGTACTTATACAGATTAAAATGATAAACAGCTCGCGGATCTTCCGTTCGATGCCGAGATACTTGTGAATGACAGCGCGCAGGCGAGTGAGAGAGAGAGAAATAGAGAGAAAAACCCGCTGCACAAGGGGTAGCGAGAAAAGTCGCGCTCGCGCGCGGATATATCCGCGGCGCGACGCGAAGCGGAACGGAGCTGAGCGGCGCGGCGTTTCTCACCTGAAAGTCGCAGTAGATGATTTCGTTGTCGTCGAACAGTCGAATAGTGGCGCGATGCACCACCGTCACGTCGCTCTTGCTGCCGAATTTCAACATTTCTGCCCTCCTCAAGTCGCCACCCAAATTATCCCCCCGGCCGTCATCGTCCCTTCCCCCACAGCACCACACACTGCCCGTTTATTAATCGCGGCACGCGCCACCGTCGTTGTCGTCGTCGTCGACGCCGGTCGTCGTTGTCGTCGTCGTCGTCGTCGTCGTCGTCGTCGTCGTCGTCGTCGTCGTCGCCGCCGCCGCTGACGCGCGACCGTACTCCGTATTAATCGGCGAGCTGGCACGGCACGGCGCGACGGCACGGTAGCACAGCGGTGAACGACGACACATCACCGTAGCGGAAGAACGCGAAGCTGTCTGTCAACCAGTCCGTCCCACTGGTGCGCCGCCGCCGCGGCCAACGCGACGCTGCCACATCTCCGGCCCCGCGCTCGCGCCGCGGCCGGCCGCGCGCGCCGTTGCCGTTGTCGAAGTGTCATGGCGCACCGAGTCGCGCCGGATTTCGATTTGACACTTTGGAGCGCTCCAGAAGCGAAACACACTTCGTCGAATCTTCTCAGATTGCTGGAGGTACAGCGTAGAACTTGTTTAAATACACTTGCAAACGAGCACTTAATCCTCAGTTATATTATTCGATTAATATCGTTTTGTAAATTAACATATATATGTATGTTACAACTTCACATTGCGAAACACGCAAAAAATAAACACCATTAAATTATTGCCCATTAAATTATTTTTATATTATTTCCATTAAATTATTGCTAGATATTTGAAAATGTTTAGTATGATATTTTAGAGAAAGAAAAGGAATAGTTCTAGATTCGGTTTTCTTTTGACAAGTAGAGAGCGCTATTTGTCAGTCAATTATAATTGCTCCGAAAAACTTGTTTATCGACCAACTTCATGCTTCGTATATGCAGAGTACTTTATTATCAATCGTGGCATACCTAATTGTCGGTACATAATTATTTCGTATGATACAGCGTCGAGTTTCGATCGCCGGTACAGATTCGCGGCTACCGTTCGTCGGTCCGTCGTCCGAGTCGGTTGATCCATCCGCCGCGAAGCGTCGCGCGCAGTGTCACGTGGAGTATCGGGCGCGCGCAGGGACGAGGGTGGTGGTACGGTACTTGTGACGCGCGCGCGGGTGGGGGTGAGTGTCGAGGGCGTCGGACAAAGGTTGGTCGCGCCGAGCGACCGGCCGGCAGCGCATTCGCTGTTCAAACATGGCAGCGGCAACGAGTGTTGTCGTGCTCGACAGGGGAAACAACACCACCTGCACTATCAATTTACACGGTGTGTGCCTGCGTGTGCCTGCGTGTGTGCGTGTGAGTGTGGGGATGCGTGCGTGTGCGTATGTATATGAGTGCGCTGTGAATGCGTGCCCGCGAGGCAAACGCGACGAGACGACAGACTGCAGAAACGTCTTCGGAACGTCTCCGCGAGCTTTTCGCGCGTCGCGAGTTTTACGCGTCAGTCGCGCTGCATCGCGGCTGTATGTACCGCGCGTCCTGTACGCGCGACCGACGAATGCTTTATGTATACGTGCGCGCGTGTTTTGTGTGAGTGCGCATCTCCGCAGTCGCGGCACCCGCGGCTTATTCCCCGACGCGATTAGGAACGGCGGCGGCGCGGCGGCGGCAACCCGACGACGACCGTGTGTGTTAACATCATCCGGGTGCCTTCTCACGTGTCATCGTCGGCGTGCACCCTCCGCGCGCCCACGCGATCGCTCCCCCCTCCGATCGATATTCTGATCACAATTTTCCATTTTGCAGGAGCCACCGTGGTGTCCTGGCGGGTGAATAATCAGGAACAGCTGTTCGTTAGGTGAGTACATACATGAAACTTCTTATAATAACCGTATATGATGGCATTTTGCCGTAACTGTGTGTGTGAGAGACAGCATTTTGACAGACAAATCGGAGCAAACGTTCCCCGGGATTTCCTCTCGAGAAGTAACGCGATTCCGATGAGCGCGTGTTGCTTTTTTTAAATTCAACTTTCGTACTTCCTATATTTTCTCGAGCTCAGAGATGTATTTTTTTAGAATTATAAATCACATGTCTTAAAAAAAAATGATATATTTCGATAATATGCGAAAATTCGACATGTGGCATAAAATTCTGCGATAGACTATAAATATATGTATGTACGAAAAAAGAATACTAAGTTTAATGAATATTAAATTTATTGTACTCTAAATCTGATTATAAAAAGCAAAATATTGCTTACATAAATTTTAATTATAAATATATCAATTCAAATTTATTCACAAAAACATATTAAACTTTAAAATTTATTATGTTTAAAGTCCAATATATTTATAAAAGGAATCCCGAAGAGAGAGAGAGAGAGAGAGAGAGAGAGACGTAGATTTTTCGTGAATCGTCCTGTACAGGTCGTAAGACGCGGTGTAAGAATCGTTGAAGAAAACGTTGACGCAAGTTGTAAGGTTGCGCGCGAGGTTACGCATCTTAGATGAGATAGAATGCATTTAGCTTGATCGCGCATTACGACGCAAAATTATAGCATTCATCGATAGATCATTTGCATACATGAGTCTGTGAAAAATCAAACGAATTAGACAATTACGACCATAAAAAGTTACGAATCGACGTAAAACCGGCGAAAAATTAATGACTTCTCTAACGTTTCGTAATTTTAAATATTGCTTACTTTAAACGGTTCATTAACGAGACAATAAAGGTTATATTCAATATCCGAGAAAAATATTTTGGTTGTAAAATCTAAATCGAGATAAATATTTGGACTAAAATTTCAATTTGAAAACTAAAGTCGAAAAATGTTCTAACGTTATATACGAATTATCCAATCGACCTATCCTGAAATTTTTTTATTTGGACTAAAATTTCAATTTGAAAATTAAGGTCGAAGAATGTTCTATGTTATTATATACGAATTATCCAAACGACCTATCGGGAACGAATCTTTACGACAATCGATAAAAAAGAATTTGTCTGAGTTTTGAATTAAAAATATATAAAATACAATTTTGAATTATACAATTGAAAAATCTTCAACGCCACGGTCCACAAGGTCGCGATCTATTGTTCGAGACTGCGAAGCCTGCACTACGCTAGATTACTCTTCGAGATTGACACCTTCTAGATGAGAACAAAGTCTGCTCGCGTGTTCCACATTGCGCACAGATTGCCCAACAAATTGCCTTCAGTCGGATGAAAAAAAAAAAAAAGAAGATTGCCGTCGAGTACAAGAGTGAAACGATTAAAGTATCATCATCCGCGAGAACAATACGTGCGCGCTACCTTCAGCTTCAAGAACTGTTTGCAAACAGTTAATAATCGCCGTAGCAATAGATAAGCGAGCAAATAACGAATTACATTTCCGTCGGATGCAGATCAATGTCAAAATCTGTATTTCATTTCGCGATGACTCAGAAAAACGGACTTCGCCGTCGTACGTGACCGATTCAAGGCTCCCGCCGCGAAATGTACCGAAACGATACGCAATTCCAATCACAGACCGAGAGCAAACCCGAGGTCTGCTCGATCATATCTCTCGCGAGTTATCGTTTCGATTTTTTAAATTCAATTTTTAATTAATAATATTTTTATGAGCCTGTTTGAGCACACGTGTATATTCGCGCAGTTTGCTTGCACTGAAATATTAACGTCGATTTATTAAATTCAGCTTTGCCTCTCGAGCGTTGTTTTATGATTTGTCACTGCGAATGATGATTGTTTTTCATCACGGACGAATGTCAGGCTGTAACTCTCGGCGTTATACAAACGCAACCGGCAATGTATTGAGAATGTCTCTCGACAAGGTACAAACGGTGTGTTTTTCCCTTTCGGTGTTTTAGTGTATACGCGAACATAATTTCCCTTTAATAGGTAATAATCTTCCTTTCCGGATTACATCGCCCACTCTGCGTGCATCGAGCTTCTGAAAATCTGATGTACGAATGTTGTATATATATTTCCTAATTTTTAATAATCTTCTTGATGGGGTTTTGTGCCTCTCTCTTTTTCTCGTTTCTCTCTCTCTCTCTCTCTCTCTCTCTCTCTCGTACTGTCGTTCTTTCGCGACAATGCAGCGCGCGTAGCACGAGAAGGAAGAGACAACGAGAGAAGGCGCGCGCGCGCGCACACCTGCCGAGAAAGAACCGCGTAAAAGCGCGGTGCCCGTGACGATCGCTTTAAAAGCGGCAGCCCGAGAGCAGACGATGAAAAAACTGACGGAGAGCGAAGGCAAGGGCGCTCTCTGGACCAGTACATACCTTATACACCGGGGTTCAGGGCCCCTCGTCGCTTGCCAGTCATCGGTCCTTCCGACTGTAAAGCCGCTGTCGAGACTGGGTTTTGCAATAGAACCGCGGCCGTCGGAACGATGACAGCGTGAAACCGATGAAAAATCAACGTTTAAGTGCAGTCTGTCAATTGGCGTGCCGATCGTACTTTCACCGCGAAACGAATCTCGCGATTTCGACTTCGTAAAAATCGTAAAAGATTTTTAATGCGAAAAGAAGCGTAACAGAGCATCTGAAACTCGGTTTTTATATATGTATATATATATTTTTTCTTTTTCTTTTTATTGTTTATTTTTTTAAGGAGACTACACAGAACCCCTTGCAATTATTTCTTCTCGCACGTACTACTTATCTAGATATAATTCAGTTTGCGAATATAATTGCGAGTCATCGTTCGACTGCCGCCAGAATCATGGCCGGGCTCCCGCGGGAGCACCGTCGAGGAATTTTAAGTAACACACGTACACAATTATACGCGTACACGGCGCAAGAAGCTCGGCAACACGCTCGTAATTTACTCCAATTTCCCTCGAAATGGCTATAAAAGTTACATCGGTATGTCCGGTCGTGGCATGATACTGATCGCGATGCACCGCGCACGATGTATGTACGAGGCATATATTTTAATGGCACATATTGCGTGTCCGACGTGTCCAGAAGAAACAGCGGCTTTAATTTCAATTAATAAATGTTGAGCAAATTAACACATTCGACGTTCGCTCGCGCGGAGTTAAAAGGTAGCAAAAAAATCTTTAGACTGAAGTTCATATTAACTTTAATGAGATTTTCATTTTGACTATTTATTATCATGAAATTTCACGGATAGAGGCGAAATCGGTATCTCGAAATAATTGAAGGGAATCGTCATTGAAATGTACCTCGAGTAACATATAAATATAAAATGTATTTTATATAAATTATCTGAATATGCATTGATCTAATCGAATCGTAAAACGAAATTGAGTCAGACCGTTTTCTGACCGGTTGTGCCCGCGCGCCATCGGTAACATGAGAGGACCACGTGCAGCGTGTCGATCTCTCGGTTCTTACGATCCGACCGCGGATGTGGACGTGCCCTCGTCGAACATCTGCGTCCACGACGGGGCCCAAAAACGGAAATGAAGAATCGAGGACGGAGCGGCGCGGCGCGGCGGCGCGTGAACGCGGCGACGAACTGGTACAGTTGGGATTCCATTAGCGCGATAAAATAATCGGGCGAATTGCGATACGGTCACGGTAAAATAACGTTGCTGTAGAATAGGTAACTCTTATACGTATCGAGACGAATGTAACGAGAAGATAAAAGAAACATTGGGATATACGGTCGTTCGCTTTAACTCACTCTTTAGACTTTATGAGGTATCTAACTCTCTGGAATGTGCGAGGATTATAAATCTTGTATATATAGGTATAGAAAATTCAGGCTTGTTGCGATTGAGTTAAAATATGAAAGGGTTCTTCCGGCGGTGATTGTACTTGAAAATTGTAGGCATATCACGAGCCAGGCAACCCCTTTTGACTCCAAGACAAGCAAAGCGGGAAAGGACCTAACTGTACTCTGGTTCGTTCAGACAAAGACCCCATGACGATCCGGAATGACCTCCGACGAGGGAAGGTATAGAGAATGAGAGAGAAAGAGAGAAAGGGAGACGGGAGACGGAGACAAATAGCTAGAGCGAATCAAGAAAAGCGACAGAGACAGGCTTACCGAACGAAAGGGGTGCGGGTATACAAATGCACGATTCATCTTGGCGAAGGGATGGGACGATGATTAAGGGTCCCTCGTCTATCCTCACCACGCCTGAAGACGCGCCACGGTCACGTATACACGTATATATATGGTCCGCGCACATCCTCCGCGAGAAGGAGCGAGAGAGGGAGGAGAAAGAAAGGAGGCATGTGGAAAAGGAAAGCGTCGTTAATGGTTGCCGGCAGGACTCAACCATGAAATTTCAACTCGACTTTCGGATTAGAGGTTTCGTTCGAACCGTGGAATTGGTGAAGCTCCTCGTCCCGATCGCGTGATGTTCCCTATACGCACCGTGTTACGAGAGTATAAAGGATAATTCGGAGCTGAGAATCGCGCGCGTTCCCGAATAACAAATCATTCGAACGCGCGCCGCGCATTCTCGCGCGCGTTGAACGATATAATCTGCACGCGCGCGGGTAGACTTTCGTCTACAGGAGCCCTGATACTTCCGAATCTGCTGAATCCCGCACTCAAATTTCCATTCAAATTTCGATCGTAAAATCTTGGCCGTTGAACCGAGTAATTTCTAATCGAAAGTTGATCGAGCCACGTCGCGCCGCGCCGGGAAATATATTTTCAATCATTTATACTCTCTTCCTTCCTATAAAGAGCGAACGGGCCATCAGGCTTTCTACGGAGGGCAAGAAGAATGTCAAACGGTGCAGTGGCACGTTAGAAACGTCTCGCACTCGCGTGCATTTGACACCACATACGTCTTTGTCGTCCGGGATTGGTTCGTGCTGGGCATATGGCGAGAACGTCTGTTTCTAGCGGTAATGCAAAGGC